TGATAAATATCTGTGTGGTTCTTGTTTCCTCCCTCTACCCTCCTTATTTGTCTGAAGGAGCAAATAAAGTTTCTGGAAGAAGAAATACGTTGTATGGAGGAGTCAGAATTGGCTTTTTGTGCTTACACAAATTGGCATGGAGCTACTAACAAGAACTTCAGAAATGTGGTCACCGAGTTTGATGTGGTTGATAAAACAGCAATGGAGAAAAAAGTGCAGAAACTAGAGGTACAGCTTTATTGAATGCAGTTTGTGTTTCTGTTTCCCAGAAAGAGGCTATATTTTAACATGCATCTTAACAGATACTCTAAATTCGAACTTCACCTTGCCCAGAAAAGATGATAGGATAAAGACCACCCAGTATAAACCTTTCTGTTCTCATGTCACATACATATTAGATCACAGTTTGGTAACTGAGGTTATGAATAGTCTTAAATAATAGAATCCTGTTTTTCCATGAGGCATGTTTGTATGTGTTTTAGTTTAAGAAATTTTGAATAAATTCCCTTTGCAAGGCATCCTGTCATGTATATTTTGTACATGTATGCACTGTGGCAAGAAGTTTCCTAGTGCTCCTCATTGAAATAACTCAGTAGTAAAACTCACATTTCATCTCAGTGTTGAGGCTGAGTTTTTTCATATGTCCTGCAGCTTAACCCTAATACTGTTAAAAGAAAACTTCTATCTATTTCAGGATTTGGAGTTTGAACCCTCTCTTGATAGCCTTCAGAATAGTCTTCAGAAGCCCAGTGCAGAGCAGAAGTATTTGTTTTTTCTGCTTCCTTCTAGTTTACCACAGGCAATTGCCTCCCAGAAATTTTATGATAAAAAGTCCATTCAATTTCCATAGCAATTCCTTCTGTATTCTTAATTAAATAAAAAAATAAAAAAAATTGCTAGTCTCTTACTGATGATAGAACTACAATGAATAAAAAAAACAAGAACAAAAACAGAAGAACTTGCATGCATTTTCTGGTAACCAACACTTTCTTCACAGTTGCTGTTGAGCGATATGGACATAGGTCACAGTTTACTGAAATCTGCCCGTGAGAAGGGGGAGCGAGCTATAAAATACATGGAAGAAAATGAAGTTGACCAGTTAAGAAAAGAAATTGGAGATCATGTGGAACAGCTTGAAGAGCTGGCTGGCTCTATCAGGAAAGAGCACATGACTTCGGAGAAGAGCCTCCAGCTCATGAAGGAGTTCTCAGACAAGTACAGGGCACAGACTCAGTGGGTCACAGATTACCAAGCCATGTTACATGCTCCAGCAGAGCCAAAGAGCGAACTGTATGAGAAGAAGGCCCAGTTGTCCAAATACAAGGTAAAAACGGGTTATATCATCATACTTTCAAACCAGTTTTGACCTAGTGACTTGCAGTAAATTCTCTGATACAGATGTCTACTCAAGTTTTCTCAGTAGAGGTAATAGGTATCTCTGATCAGGATGTCCAAATCAGCATCAAATCGGAAAACTCTCATGATACCTGCATCTAAGAACAAGAGTGAGCACTTGGATTTGAAATATGAATGTCTTAGTAAGGCTTCTACATCTGAAAATTTCCTGTTATGGAGCAAAATTATTTTATTAGTGCACATATGAGTAATTCCAATGATATCAACAGAGTTAACTGCTATTCAAGGAAGGATAGAAATCAATTGGTCTTTCTTCACTGCAGATGTTGCCTGTGTTTACATTGGCTTAATCAGCTTTCTGGGTAGTGAAAATTTTAAAGCAGTGAGGTGGTTTTTATTTCCAGTCATAAAAATGAGTAGGAAAAATGGACAACAAACTCCATTGCTTCTCTTAATGATTTTTTTTTTTTTTGTAAAATACTCCAGGACTACACATTTCATAAGACATGTACTGGGTATGGCTGGAATGGAGCTAACTCTCCTCATAACAGCCCATATAATGTTGTGCTTTACATTTGTGGCTAAAGCAGTGCTGCTGACAAACCAGTTTTGGCACTTGCTGAGCAGTACCTGCACAGCATCAAGGTTTTCTCTCTGAAACCGCCCACTACCCCTCGTCTGCTTGAGTACTCAAAGTTGTATGTCAAAGCTGTGTGCTTGCTTTGTATGCATTTAGGGAGCTGATATCTCAATGTCATTTGCTAAATGTTGGCACGTGCCGTGCAGTGGCACGATGACATAACAGATCAGATTGCGTACTCTTGAGAGTACAGTGTCACACCCTTGTCTGCATCCTGTCTTGTTAAAGGGATGGCTTTGGTGATACTTTTCCATCTATGTACAGAAGGTTTTTTTGACCAAGTTTTATTACTGCCGCTTGCCCCTTCACACATATTAGCTCCCTTTGCTTTAACATCTCCAGATTAACAGATGTGCTACTAGACACACGCACAAGGAACAATTGCTTTTAGGTGTCTGTAAAGTTGTTGTCTGAGGGCATGGCTAAGAAATAGCCCTGTACTGGAAGCAAGGATTTTCTCGTCTGGAAGGGGCGATATATACTGTGATAGAAGGCTGTGCTTCAGATCAAAGGGAAGTGAGTGAAATAGATCTTCAGTGTTTAACAGATATATTTTAATTTTTGCTTGCATTGTAGTCCATACAACAAACTGTTCTGTCCCATGAGCCTTCAATAAAATCAGTGATTGAAAAGGGAGAAGCACTTTTTGATTTGGTGAATGATGTGACTCTAAAGAACAACATTCAGGACCTTCAGAGCTGTTACCAGGAACTGTGCAGCACAACAAAGGTAAAAATGTTGGGAAGAAAACTTAAGAGTCTTTCAGTTTCCTCTATTTGTTCCATTCTGTCATGTCACTCCCTGTACAAAGAGCCAGTTAGATTTTAGAACTTTTGGAGGGACGTGGGGTGGTGGTGGAGGGATCATTCTTGAATATGGAAAGACCTTCTACCTAAAAAAATATAACGAGTAGCTGAAACGAGTTTCGAGTCTGGCAGGTGAAGTCTTCATAACACCAAGGGGATATATGTCAGTGACTAGTTTTTACTATTGTTACTATTTTTGCTTTGAAGAGATTTCTAAATGCATTATTTTTTGGAGGGCAGCTGCCCTTAAAATATACCATTTTGTGTCTTATTTCTGCTAGATCTCATGCAAACCCCATTTAATCTAGTTTAGTAGTTGAATGGGTATCACTGGAGGAAATGAACTGCAGTTAGATATAATTTAATTCAGCAAGGGTATTATTAATTAAGAATGTTTCATTAATCCACATGTATGTAGTACTTTGAAAGGTCTAATACTTCTAAATATGTCCTAAAGTATGATTATTCCTAAAGCTTTTAATGGGTTATACTCCTAACAAGGATAAGCTCTGCAAACCATGATAGTACTTATGATTGACCTAAGCACCTTTAATTGGTAATCCATCCACCAATAGCAGATGATTTTTCTTTTTTCACAGTTGATTTTTAATTTACAGACATTCCTCTCATCTGTACCACAGAACTAGTATCTGTTGCATTAGATGTGATGACTTAAAAGAGAAGCTTATGAAAATTATTTCTTAAAATGAATAAATACTTTTAAACTGAATGTGGACATTCTTAATTGGCCTGCCACAGTTACAGGCAATATGTATGTGCAAAGGCCATAGGCAGCAGGGACCCAACCATAATATTTAGTAGGTCATGTGCAGTCACTTAAAGAGCAAGTCATAACTGTTCCTAAGTGATCCCCATGTCAAGTTGACAGTGTTCTTTTTCTTAAAGCGAGGAGATCCTTAGTGTTTTCCTCAGTCTTCAAAGTACAGTATTTCATCTATAGCAAAAATACACTCAGTACCACTGAGTTTATTCACACAAGGAATCTCTCTGATATCTTCCTTAACAGTCTAATTATGTCAGAGTCCCTGTTGGGAGTATAAATTTAGAAGATAACTCTCCTTGGTTCTTTTTGGTTTGACTTTTTTATTTTTTAATTCTTATAATTAACTGCCTATTTAATTTTGGTTATGTGGACCTGCAGGTATATGTTGAAACCTTAGAGGTGAGAGTAAAAGAACATGAGGATTACAACAGTGATCTGCAAGAAGGGGAGAAATGGTTATTACATATGTCCAGCAGGCTGGTCAGCCCTGACCTCATGGAGAGTAACAGTCTTGAAATAATCACTCAGCAACTAGCTAACCACAAGGTGGGTTTGCTATTGGATAAACTTCCTTTGTCCATTAAAACAGAATTATTCTTCTTTGTTTCTCTGTCACCACTCTAGAGCTCTGGTTATTTCTCATTCATTTGTTTTATTCTTCTTGCTGGTAAACGTGTAAATAAGAATCAGTGTCATTAATGCACTTAACAAGTCTATCTTGTATTAGTACTGTTTCATCTATGAGACTGCATCTACACAAGAGCTTTGTTGTACACTGGTCTGAATACTGTGTCAGATTTTTGCTAAGATGTCCCAGGAAATAGACCACAAAAAGCAGATTAGGGCCATTTTTCTCCTAAGGCATTTTTTGCCCTGGCACTTTTAAGGATTTAAAAATACTTTACATTTTCAAATCTTTGGTTTTTTCCTTTTTTTTCTTTTAATATTTCCACTCTATTAGGTTGTAATATTTCATCCATTGCTTTTATTCACATTATTGATATGGTTGCTAGTAATGATGATAATCATTCACTACATCAATGGCTTACACTTTCTACAAGATGAAAGAAAGCGAAGTCCAATCGTGTCCATCACTACCTGAAACTGAGATTCCGAGGGCAATGAGTGTGATATTCCTTAAGTAACCTCCCTAGATAAAAATTTGGCTCCAGCAAAGTCAGTGGAAAGAACTATCTACAGGGGAAGAGCTTATGGAATAAGATATGATTCAGCATCAGATTTAGTCCTCATGACTAGGCACAAGAGAAAGTAGAGCCCTGGATAGCATATGACAAAGGAAGATTAAGAGTAGTCTTGGGGTGTGAGCATATGATGTTTACAAATTATGACAGTGCTACTGATATTTCTGTGGGATATATGTGTACAGACTTTTGGCAATGATTTTGCAATGAGTATGCACTCTGATAGCTTAGCTGTAACAGTGTGCATTGTCTGAAAACCTTTTTCCCAATCTGAAGACAAAGCGTTTAAGAAAAAAACAGCTTATTAAAAAAGCTGTGCTGCAGAACATGTTAACACAAATTTAAAATATTCCTTCAAAAGCATTTTATCTGTTTCTTAGGCTATCATGGAAGAAATTGCAGGATTCGAAGATCGTTTGAACAACTTGAAAAGTAAAGGCGATTTCTTGATCAATCAATGCCCAGAACATCTTCAAGCAAAATTTAAGCAAAACATACAAAGCCATCTTCAGGGGACAAAGGACAGCTATTCTGCCATATGTAGCACTGCCCAAAGAGTGAGTCTTGTTTTGAAGAAGTTTTTATGTCCTTTAAGAATAACACACATTATTTGTCTAAGTACTTGTTTCTTTAAATAGTCTAAAACTCTACTGTTTCTATTTAAATTGAGCCTAAGGGTTACTAATGTAGCACTTCGTCATTCTTGTGCTACAGTTGAATTCCCTGTCATCTAAATGTTGCCTTGCAGCCTGTAGGCTGCCCTAGGTTCTTACCTTAAGCTCTCTGCACTCTCGCTACTTTCATGTTACACTAACTTCTGAGCAGCTGTGACAAAGAGATTAGAACTACTGCTACTTCAAACAGTAGGAAGAAAATTGCACTCTTAGTATCCCTAGTTTGCACACATACGTAACAGGTCTTAATTATGGGCTAGGAGATACTGTCTCTTAGTAAAACCAGAATATACAGCTAAGAAGGGCTAGCTAGGTCATTCTGTTAATCCAATTAGGAGATCAAGCCAGCGTAATCTAAAAAACCAAACCAAACAAAAAAAAATCACCAAACACCATAACAAAACAATTAAAAAAATCCACCAGAAGTAAACTTCATAGTCATCAAGATTAGTAGAGGTGGGTAAAACCTCATAATAGGTCAATGGCAAAATGTTGAACAAGAATATGGAAATAAGAGACAGTGCTCCTCATCTGCATCTTTATTTTTTCTTTCCAGAAGTCATGCCTTAGATATTGTCCATCTTCTCCACAAATTAGAAAGATGCAATGAGAGCTTAAGTTGCTTTCATCCTTTGGTACTTTTATGCACAATGGCTAAAATAACCAGTCTTAGTAGTTGTTTAATTTGTAGTTTACAAGGTGTGGGACAAGAGAACCAGTAGTGGTGTTGGAAAATGCGATAACCTTACCAAATGTTTATTGTAGGTGTACCAGAGTTTGGAACATGAACTCCAGAAGCATGTTAATCATCAGGACACCCTACAACAGTGCCGGACTTGGCTATCTACCGTGCAGGCAGAGCTCAAGCCCACTACCTGGCCACCTTTCAGCCTGGCAGATGCAATTAAACAGGTAAAAGTTCAGCCTTCGAAAATGCTCAGTTAATGCTCCTTAATAAGGTAAGATCAGGTACAAGCTTTATATTAATAGAAATTATATACTCTCTCTCACCTTCTCCGAGGGCTGTGTGGTCTCATTGTTTACTCCCAGCTCTAAAAGGAATACCTTGAGTGCAAAATAACTGTAAGTGAAAAAACATACAAGGGCTTTTGCTAGCCCTGCTTAATGCTTAGAAATATGTTACCTGAAAAAAGTTGTCTCATTAGATAAATTTGCTCAGATACTCCACAGATGTGTTCAGCAGAGAGGTTATGTCTTTCTTCCTGCGCAGTTGCCCATATGTCTACTAATGTTCCAATATAAGACCTAATTTCATTGTACCATGGATACAGAATCTGTTATCAGACAATTCTATCTGATTTTTAGCCTAAGAGCACAGAACTGCCTCCAGCCCATGCTAGCCATGAAGAATGGTTTATTTGCTTCTTAATTTTTATTAGTAGCTTAATGTGTTTTACCTTTGGATTTTTACCTCGTTTTCAAATTAAACTAGTATAGTACTAAATATATTGATGTTCAGTACTGTCTCATGAGGCTAGAGGCTGCAGAGCCCTTTGCTTTGAGGATCTTGACCACCCCTAAGGATTAGGGACCTGTTACAGTGCTTAAGTGTTCTCAGTGTGAGTGTTGTCATATGAGATTCCATCATATCTGGGAAGAATTTCCTTGTTGCAACTAGTCCTTTTCTAGTCCTTTTTCTGCTCACCTCAACAAAGAGTTTGGCTCTGTCTTCTCAGCACTGCCACCACCTGACTCCTACCATTTTAAGTAATGGCAGACCACAGTTAGCCTCTCCTCCAGGCCTGCCCAAATGCCACATATTATAGTCCCATATTCCCACAGCCCTTTGCTAGACTTGCACCAGTTTGCCAATACTTTGTCTATGGTGGAAGAGCAAAACTGGGCCACATACACCAGGGGCAGCCTGACAAGTCTAAGTACAGGCAAATAATCACTTCCCACAGCTTACTCACTGCATTCTTGCTAATACAGTAATTTTGGGTTGCCGCAAGGGCACACTGCTGCAGTGTTCAACTTCCTGCCAGCAGGGACTCACCACTGGCCCTCTGCATTAGGTGGTCACTCACCCCTCCTCCTTGGTACTCTGGGAGGTGTGTTATTGCCCTGCTTGTTAACCTTAATATCACAATTTTCTTTTGGGATGAGGAAACTCTTCATAGGGAGAGGTGAACTCCTATGGGCGATGTCAAAAGCAAGAACCCTCAACAGCAACGGATCTTCTGATCTTGGCAATCATAGATATTGGGGGAATTGAGAGGCTTTCAGAAGATGTGGGAAAGTGCATTGTGCCACTGGGTGCATTCCTCATGATCTCTCATACACTGGGGAATCTGTTAAGTATAGGAACATGACACACTAATAATTGAATAAAGCCCTGCTTCCCATTCACTTTGCAAAGGTAAGTCATCTTGTTGAAACTGTGTGTATCCATCCAGTGCCTTATTTTTAAAGAAATAAGCTAGGTAATGCATATGTCAGTAAGCACTTCAATAATTGGATGCTAATCAAGTTTTTAAGATTTACTCTTTACTCATAATTATGACAGAGCAGCCTTATTTAATAGAATAGTGTCTGTTTACATTTCATCTTTTGGAAATAATAAGCTAAAGTAAAAATACTAAAATACACGATTATAATAAACTAATAGATTATTTCCACAGTATCAGGGTTGATTTGAGGATTGTCTTTCCTCAGGTGAAACATTTCCGGGCTCTGCAGGAGCAAGCCAATACATACTTGGATCTTCTGTGCTCCATGTGTGACCTGTCAGACACTGCAGTGAAGAGTACAGCAACAGATATTCAACAAAAAAAACAAACGGTACAAAATAACCACATCAACCAGCTTTTAATCCTATTTAGAGCTTTAACTACCTTGATCTTTCCTTCTTTAAAAAGGTCATATGGAGTAATGGTTTAAAGAAGTATCTCCTTATTTTCGTCTTAAGTATTTCTTTTAGAAATAGTTTTCTCTCTCTTCTGCTTTTTTTAAAATTAAATCCACATATTGCCTTCCTCCTAGTAATAGAAAGACACATGACAAAGGATGCTAAGTGTGTTTAGGCAATGTTACAAGATGTTAGTCTAAAGCCAAAAAAATAATGTTCTGTGGAAGAAAATCTGATCAAAATTATTTGCTTTCATAAAACACAACTCAATCTGTTCTCCTCTGTGTTTTATTTAAGCTTTTACTGTTATTGTTCATTCATAGTTGACTGATGCATTTACTAGGACACACTAAGATAATAAACATTATGATGGTTCAATTAATAAATCAGAGTGCATCTATTTCAACTTTTATAGAGGTGTACCTCATTTTTAAGTTTTGAAGTAGCTTAATGCTTGGTTTTAGAACAAAGTTGTAAACATGAGTTATTATAAGAAGCATTATGAGCATCCCTGTTGTTGTGAACATGAAAAATCTAGTTTCACATACACACACAACCGAACTTTTGAAACTACTTCTACCAAGTCTAAAAATCTAATATATGTATTAACAGTATTCCATACTGGAGAAGCTAATCATATAAAAACAAGTAGTCCATAAAAAAATGGCGGTCAAATATTGAATAGCTAAAAGCATCCCAAACACCAGAATAAGATTCCCCTTTTATATAGAAAGCAGAGAAACTTTTTTAAGAAATCACAGATGGTACAGTGTTGAGATATATTAAGCTGGTTAAGTGTCTAAACCTTAAAGGAGCCCTTCTGCTGTATTTGGAGCGAAACAAGCTGCATGAGTATTGTTTTAAAGTGATTGATGGGCTGAGATCTGGTAAGCACTATTTTTACTGGCATTTTACAAAAAACAGGTAGGCAAAATAATCAAGCTTAACAAACTAAAGGGAAGTGTTTAGCTTTAGCTTTTATTTGGTCATTTTTAAGGCATGTAGGGTAGAATCCAGTAATACTCTTGGCATGGAATAGACTAAATCATACTGTTATTTTAAGCTGTAGCAGAAAACTGAGAGCGTTTTGAAGTACATACACTAATAAATATTCTTACTTCTCTCAAGGGTGAATTATAATTTTTTTATTCCACAGCTTTCCTTTGACAGGTCTGACTTATGACTTTTGAAGGTTAAGACTTTTTGTGGATAATATTAGCCCCTTTAGTGTGGAAATTTGCTTTAGTGCGGCATTGTTCTCGGAGAAAGAATGGTATTCATCCTCCATTCTCCAAAACCAGATGCATTAAAGTGTTTCTACTCCTTTTCATTTCTTCTAGATTGAGCAACAGATAATGCACTCACAGTATTTGGCTCAAGGTTGGGAAGAGATCAAACAAATGAAGGCTGAGCTCTGGATATATTTCCAGGATGCAGACCAACAGCTACAGAATTTGAAAAGGAGACGGGCAGAGTTGGAGCTAAACATTGCACAGAATATGGTACTCCAGGTTAAGGTAAGGAGACTTGGAGTTAAGAACAGAATGGAAGGAAGAAGTTCATCCTGTGGCTGATACGATTATAAGCCATGTTGTATGCACATATTGCACACAATTGCTAACATGTTCTAGACAAGAACAGAGAAGATGGAGGAAAAAGTGTTACCTTTTCAGTGCTACAAGTTGACACAGAAAGCAAAACACTTTTAAAAATGTTTTCTGGACTGCACTGTAATAATTTTCTGGCTTTATTTTTTATAACAGTAGACAATTTTCAGCTTACTGTTCTGATTTGCCTTTGCTTTTAATAGAATAATTATTGATCACAGGGGTCCTGAAGATAAGATCTGCAGCTTGTGCTTTCTAAGTTCTTTAATTTCAGTACTTCTAATTTATTTAAATCTATTTCACAATTAGTCTAGGAAACTATTCAGTGTTACTGGATGTTGAAAGCTACTGGAGAATAGGTATGATAGAAATGCAATTTAATTTACCCTAAATAGTAAGAAAAATGCCTTCAGATCTTGACTCATTTGTTAGAGAAGAGAGAGTTTTTCATGGCCATTCTGCACACATCACAAAGTGAAGTAAAAAGAAGAAAGAGGAAAACATATTATTTTTTTATTAAACAATGAAATGCTTGCATTTTACATTTTGGTTCTAGTCATTGCTTATGTTCTTTTTCTGATATGCCAGGAGTTAGGTGAGAAATAAACAACACTTCCTTCTTATGTCTATTGTACATGACTGTTTGAACAAAGTCATAGCCCTTGAAGATACCTCAGCACAACGTGGACTAAAAGCTGTTAAACTAGTTAATGTTATAGAGTCCAGGAAGAAGCAGGAGCCTGTATTTCTTCACTGTTTCAGTCACAAACTTTGGATTATTACGAAAGGCAGTCACCTGCTGTACTGTCAGATGTGACACAATGCATTATTTTTCCTTGAGTTTTCTGTGGTAAAGGAAGATGCCTAGCTCCATTTAAAGAAGTCACAAGGAGGAATGAGGCAGACCTAGGCAGTAGCATTTCTTCTCCAGAGGCCCTACCAGCCCTCAGTGAAAACTCATCATCCTATCAAAGTGCTGGAGCTGGACATGGTTATTTAGTTATGATTATTGGAACTAGAAATTGTGAAAATATTATATTTACCCTAGTCAGTGTGTAAGTGCTGAAAAGTATTTGGTTAGTTTTAGTTGTCAGTATACTATATATTATTTTTTTAGGTTCTCTGTGTCTTCTTACTCAGTCAGAAATGTGTATGCAGATGGACTCTTCTATTTACTGGAATTTAGTAACTCAAATAGCAATCATACCTAGATAATAATTGGCTTTGTTTCAATAATGACAGTGATAATGGTTGCTGTTATAGTAGTAGGAACAAAACAAAGTGTGTATGTGGGGGCTCACTGACTCATGGACTCTGCTTCCTATTATCAGTCTCTAAGAAACAAGGTAAAAAAATGAACTAGAAAGAGTACTGGTGAAATGAATTCACATGAGAGCCAGACTATCTTGCATGTTTTAGAGTGTGGTGGGAGCTGTGCTGATCCAGAAGCCTGGACAAAAAAGTGTGACTTGATTGTGATCTCTCTTTATCTCGATCACTTGGATACCACTCTGGTTTGCTTTCACATCTATAACCAACCTATCCTCACCTGAGAAGATGATGAGGAAGGTTAGCAGTGGGGAGAAGGCACTTCTTCAAAGTTACATCTGCAAAGCATTTGCCTGGAGAGATAATTAGTCCAAACACAATTTGTTTATTTCAGGGTTTTTGTTTAAATTTCATCTTACAATTTTGAATAGATGCCGCCATACTGGTTTTGACTTGTGTCTTTTTCAGGAATTTAGTCAGAAGTTGCAGTCTAAGCAATCAGCTCTTACCTCTGTGACTGAGAAGATGAACAAACTAACCCAAGGACAGGAATCACCTGAACACAGGGAAATAGGAGAACTGAGCAACCAGTGGCTGGACCTCTGCCTTCAGGCTCATAGTTTGCTCATACAGAGGGAGGAGGATCTGCAGAGGACGGTGGATTACCATGATCGCATGAATGTAGTTGAAGTTTTCTTGGAGAAGCTCACAAAAGAGTGGGACAACCTGGCTAGGTAAATAAAAAAAAGTACCACACACAAAGCTGACTTGGTGCGTGTACTCTGAAAGAGCAGTTTACAGATTGTCTCTAAGTTGGATCCACTAAAAATTGCTTTTTCTATTCATAATTAAAAGCAAGCATCCCTTATTAATTCTTGGACAATTACTTGAATTGAAATGCAGAGAGTTTGAGAAGCCAGATCTTCAGTGTTTGTCTCTGAGGCAACTACTGATTGAACTCAACTTAGGGAACGGCATTTTCTGGTATATCAAGAATTTTGACTATTTTGTTTGAACTCTTTCCTTTGTGTTTACTGTGTGTGTTTCATGTGTGATTTTCATTGTGACATTGTGTTTTATCTACTATACTATTATATTAAAGATTAGTTGCTGCTGCTAAATGACTGCAACTGCTTTATATAGTGTAAACATGGCAGCTGTGTATAAAATTGCGAGTCTATTTCTTCTGCTATCCCTGTCATGGAACAAGATTCACTTCAGCCTCGGTACTTCTTGTTGTTCACACGTGCAACATAACCAATATATTCTTCAGTATTCATGTTAATTTGTATGGTCAGCCAGGTGACCATATTGCAGATGAAAGAGAGAGGAATGAAAATGTTGAACTTTTTGGTTAATATTCAAGACTGGTATCTTCAGAAGAATCTGAAAACTGTAGGTATTTCTATCATACTGATTTCAGCGTAGAGTGAGCTTAATCCATCCTGACAACTTTTAGAAGTCTGTCCTGAGATAGCATATAATGATTCATTTCTGTCCTGTCCATTTTGATAACAGATCTGATGCTGAAAGTACAAATGTGCACCTGGAAGCTTTGCAAAAATTGGCGCTGGCAGTACAGGAAAGGAGATTTGCTCTGGAAGAGTTGAAAGATCAGAAACAGAAGATGGTAGAACATCTGAATCTTGATGACAAAGAATTAGTGAAGGAGCAGTTTGGTCATTTCGAGCAACGCTGGGCTCAGCTGGAGGACCTTGTCAAAAGGAAAATTCAAGTTTCCGTTTCAACCTTAGAAGAGCTTAGATTAGTGCATTCCAAATTTCAGGAACTAATGGAGTGGGCAGAGGAGCAGCAACCTAGTATCTCAGAGGCTCTTAAACAGAGCCCTCCTCCAGATTTGGCTCAGAGTCTTCTCATGGATCACCTTACCATTTGCAGTGAGCTTGAAACCAAACAGCTTGTTCTGAAGACACTTGTGAAGGATGCTGACAGGGTGATGACCAACCTAGGGCTCAATGAAAGACAGGAGCTGCAGAAAGCACTTTCTGATGCACAGCATCATGTAAATTGTCTCAGTGATCTGGTTGGCCAGAGAAGAAAGCACTTGAATAAAGCACTGTCTGAAAAGACACAATTTCTCATGGCAGTCTTTCAGGCTACAAACCAAATTCACCAGCATGAGAAGAAAGTAACGTTTCCAGAATATATTTGTCTGTTGCCAGAAGATGTGAACAAACAGATCAGGACTTGTAAGAATGCTCAGGCTAACCTGAAGGCCTATCAAAATGAAGTCACAGGGTTGTGGGCTCAAGGAAGGGATTTAATGAAAGAAGCAACAGAACAAGAAAAAAGTGAAGTGTTAGGTAAACTGCAAGAGTTACAGAATGTGTATGACACTGTTTTACAGAAGTGTAACCAGAGATTGTTAGAATTGGAGAAGAATATAGTTTCCAGGAAATATTTCAAAGAAGACTTAGATAAAGCTTGCCATTGGCTAAAACAAGCTGATATTGTCACATTCGCAGAAGTCAATGTAATGAATTCTGACTCTGAACTATACTGCCAGTTGGCAAAATATCAGCAGATTCTTGAGCAGTCTCCAGAATATGAAAATCTTCTACTTGCACTGCAAAGAGATGGCCAGGAAATCCTACCATCACTTAATGAAGTGGATCATTCTTACCTGGATGAAAAACTTCGCATTCTCCCTCAGCAATTCAATATTGTCACTGCTCTGGCAAAAGAAAAGTTATATAAGGTTCAGGAAGCAATTTATGCCAGAAAAGAGTATGCCTGTCTGATTGAGTTGACAAGTAAAGCTCTGACTGAGCTAGAAGATCAGTTTGGTAACATGGACAAAGCTCCAGCTGCTGTTTTAGCCAAAGAAGCTGTATCACTCCAGCAGGCCTACAGAGATCTCTTAGGTGAAGTGGTGAGCCTTGGTGCGGCAGTGGATGAACTAAACCAGAAGAAGGAGGCCTTTCGAAGCACTGGCCAACCGTGGCAACCAGATGAGATGTTAAAACTTGTCACGCTGTATAACAAGTTAAAGAGGCAAATAGAACAGAAAATTAACCTGTTGGAAGACACAATAGAAGCATGCCAGGAGCATGAGAAAATGTGTATGCAATTTGAGGCACAACTAGAGGCAGTGAAGAAGGAGCAAGTTAAGGTAAATGAAGAAATGCTCCCAATAGAAGAAAAGTTGAAAATATACCATTCTCTGGTGGGCACCTTGCAAGACTCAGGGAGTCTTCTGAAGCGAATAACTGAACATCTAGAAGCCTTTTCTCCTCAGCTTGACTCATCTGCCTGTGAGAAAACAAATCACCAAGTGCAGTCCTGGCAAGAGAAACTAAAGTCTTTGCATGCTGCCATTGGTGACACCGTGATGGAGTGCGAGAACAGACTTGTGCAAAGCATAGATTTCCAGACAGAAATCTGCCGCTCACTTGACTGGCTAAGATGGGTGAAAACAGAACTTAGTGGAACATTAAGTTTGGACCTCAAACTGCAAAGCATCCAAGAAGAGATCCGAAAGGTTCAGATACATCAGGAAGAAGTACAGTCAAGCCTGAGAATAATGAATGCATTGAGCAATAAAGAGAAAGAGAAATACATGAAAGCAAAGGAGCTTATACCTGCTGACCTGGAAAACACTCTTGCTGAGCTGACAGAACTCGACAGTGAAGTTCAAGAAGCTATACACTTGAGACAGGTTAGTGCACCCTAAATATTTCTTGCTTGCAAAGCTGAAAAAGATGGCTCTGTGGCTTGCTGACTGTAATAATCATGAAAAGATTATTTTTAATATTCCTATTGCTTGGGTTTTTTTCTAATGACTTATGTTGTGGCCTGTTACCATGGATTATTTGGGTGGTGCAGTAGTGGGAAATGCTTCCTTAGTATGCATTTATACCTGCATATAGAAGTGCAAACTCATTTAAAACCTGCTTCCATGTAGTATCACACAGAATCACTGAATGTTAGGGATTGCAAGGGACCTTGAAAGATCATCTAGTCCAACCCCCTGCCAGAGCAGGATATCACACAGGAAGCCGTCCAGGCGGGTTTTGAAGGTCTCCAGAGAAGGAGACTCCACAACCTCCCTGGGCAGCAGCCTGTGCCCCAGTGCTCTGTCAGCCTCACAGTGTCCTCCTGACACTCCCCCTTGACGTATTTATAAACACTAATGAGGTCACCCCTCAGCCTCCTCTTCTCCAAGCTGAAGAGACCCAGCTCCTTCAGCCTTTCCTCATAAGGGAGAAGTTCCACTCCCTTCATCATCTTTGTGGCTCTGCACTGGACTCTCTCAAGCAGTTCCCTGTCCTTCTTGAACTGAGGGGCCTAAAACTGGACACAGTATTCCAGATGTGGCCTCACCAGTAGAGGGGCAGGAGAACCTCTCTCGACCTGCTAGCCACACCCCACAGGGAAAAGAAGGCAAGCATGGACAAGACTCAGACTCTTAGCAGAGGATACTTTTGTTTCTCCTGTGAATTTTATGCCTGTGATCCTCTGTATAATTTTCCCTTTTATTTCAGGCTACCTTGAATAAATTATATAGCCTCTGCCAAAGATATTACCAAGTGATGCAGATAGCAAATGACTGGCTTGAAGATGCTCAGGAATTTCTGCATTTAGCAAGAAATGGTCTTGATGTTGAGAGCTCTGAGGAGAACCTAAGGAACCACATTGAATTTTTCAGCACAGAAAGTCAGTTCAGTAATCATTTGAAGGACTTACAGGGCCTTGTGTCTGAGATGGAGCCCTTTATCCAAGCCACAGCAAGAGAGCAGATGATGCAGAATGTTGCTGCGTTGGAGGAAAAGGCCAAAGGAACAAAGCAAGAGGCCAAAACCCAGCAAGAGCAGCTGCAAAGGTATATTAATTTTTTTTTCTTCTTCCATTTCAAGATTGTCTTGTTGGTAGTGAAAGAAAGAGATCACAATATTAATTAAAGATTTGTAAGATTTTTATGCTATTGATGAGAGAAGTGGTTATCGGGATTTAGAGCTCTTGGATTCTGTTTTCTCCTCTGCCACAGCCTGACTAGGTATGCAATCCTGAAGAAGCTGTGATAAAATTCTATGAAGCTTGGAACAGCACCGAGAAGAATGGGGAAAGACTGTCCCTGGCACAAGACCTGGGCATAAACAAAAGAAATTGAAACAGACATTTTGAACGTAAAGGAATGCCATTTTAACCAGCATAACTATCACTTATTGTTCCTCAGTGTTCTGGATTCCAAAAGTTTGGGTGGTTTTAAAAAACATCCTAGACACAGCTGTATCTAAGGCACCGCTGAAAATCAGGAGCATATGTTTTTACGTATGCTAATTCCCAGGGATGTTTCTTTTTTTTTGCTGTGTAACAGCAAAAATAAACAGTTATATTGGAAGCTAGATGCAACAATATTCTTGACTTTCAAATGGTTTTATAATGCATTAAAATGTTCTTTCTGGAACTTTATTTGTTTAAGGTGTGCTTCTGAGTGGCAGGAATACCAGACAGCAAGACAGAAGGTTATTGAAGTGATGAATGAGGCAGAGAAAAAGTTATCTGAATTCTCAGTAGCTAAAGCTGCTTCTTATCATGAAGCAGAAGAGAAATTGTTAACACATAAGGTAAGGTACTGAAAATTGCATGAAATCTTTTTCCTTCAGTGAAAATAAGTGTATATTATGTAGGTCCCTACCTGTGACAACCTGATTCTGAGTTTTCAGGTCTTTTTCTGTAGTATTTAATTGCACACAAAGAGATGTCTTGTGTTGTGCACAACACACATTTTATTTGTGGAGTGACTGAAACAGATATTTTTAATTCCTTTTCAGCTTAATATTTGTCTATATGCCTGTGACTAGAGAACTGGAAGAAACCTTCTAAAAGCCTTGGGTGCATCAGCCCTAAAATTGTGTACCCTGCAAGAAATTCAGATCAATAGACTTTTTTTTTTAACTGAGACGGGAAGGGTTGGGGTTTAATACTAACTCTTGTTTAGTCTAAAAGAAATAAATTTAACTTAGAAGAATTACTTTCTCCTCTGGTATTTAAGGTGCTAATCAGTTGCCTTAACATAGGCAGTTTGTGACACTTCAAACATCCTGCCTGGTCTCCAGCTGTGTCTCTTTGAAAGCAGGAACCTTCCACTAAGAGCAATGTCATGTCTGCCAGCTTCTCGTATCCTGACTGCCTTGGACGTCTAAAATGTCATTAAAGATAAACATGACATAAGTGTATACTTAAATGCCTGAATTGCTTCTTTCATGTTTAGACTCTAGTAGAGGTCAATTTTTGCTATGAGAATGATCCTGAATACTCATTTCCATCTCTTCTGAGAGGCTGGGAGGGAACAGAAAATCTGATTACATCAGATTGCTGCTGCTTCCAGAGAGTTGCATTTTGGTCCAGGTCCTTCAAATAGCTGTAGTTTATAGGTTACATGTGAAAAATAACGTGAGACTTAACCACCTCACGCTGCACAGAGTACCTCCTCTTTCTCTGCAGTGGATGGACATGGTTCATCTGCCTGCAAGTGTGCTGAATAGTTTCAAGTTGTGCTGTAAAAGAGGAAAACAGTGCTTGTTTTTGTTGTTTTCAGACTCTCGTGTCTGTAGTGAATTCTTTCCATGAGAAGATCACAGCCCTAGAAGAAAAGGCTTCACAGATGGAAAAAGTTAGCAATGATGCCAGTAAAGCAACTATAAGTAGATCCATGACAGCAGTTTGGCAGCGCTGGACACGACTCCGGAATGTAGCCCAAGAACAAGAGAAAATTTTGGAAGACGCAGTGCAGGAATGGAAAAGCTTTAATGATAAGGTAACTTCTGGTGTTGGTAAATCCTCCTTTGTTAATTGTACACAGGATTACACTCACAGTACTATATTATTAATCATTTTATGGTACAGAAAGCTGACAGCATGAATAACAGTGCCCCTTCTCAAGTCACTGCAAAAAACAGCTAAGGGTTTGAGCTGACGGTTTGTCCAGATTTGGGCTAATCAGGACCAATTCTGTGCAGTGATTTTACTATTTAGCTCAGTCTTTTCTGAGACACTGCACTTTCTGAAGTTAATAGAATGTTTTTGCAGGCAGTGCCTGCTACTAGCAGTGATAACACCTGATGTTTACAGTTACTGCCTGGGACTGGTGTGCGGAAAGGCTCTTGCTGATACTTGCTCCTGTAGTGACCAAGGTCACTGCTGGATCTTGTGTGCCATGCTGGGGGTGCTGGGAAGTAAAGGGGTCACAAGGAAGTAAAAGTTTGCATCTTCAGTGAGTAACAAACAGGACAGGTCACCAGCAACAAGGGTATTCTGTTCCATTCAATATATGTCATATTCAGTATGAAGCTGAGGGATCACAGGGATTAAGGTTTCTTCTTCAATTGCTGTCGTCTGAGGAGGACTCTCTCTGAACTTTTGCCTTTGATCCCAATCCTGAGTTCGTGAATCCAGCTCCTGTGTGCGGTTCACCTCTGCTGCTGAGCCTGGGGCTGCCCTGCTGCCGCCTGCTCTGCAGCATCAGTGGGGATTGCTATCAGGGAAGGAGTCAGGTTCAATACTGTTATTTTATATGTATGTATTTCATTACTTTTTATTACTGTTTTGTTAAAGTTGTTTAGTTTTCTTTTCCAATCAGTATGTCTCTCTGCCTTTTTCCCATTCCCTTCCTGATTTGGCAAGTGAGAGGAGTCAAAGACTGTCTGTCAGCATTTGATGGCCAGCCCAGCCCTGACCCTCGACAAAGACCTAGATTTAGAATCACTGCCCCCAAGGTTTACATTGTTCTTCTATATGTATACATGTAGACTAAATACAGAGTTGTTCTGGTTTTCTCTCCTCTTTGTTTCCCTTCCCCAGATGGTCTTTTTTTTTTACAAAAAATTTTTCTCTGAAGAGTGTAAAGTTGCTATTCCAAAGTATTTTGCAGTGATATCATTGTCTGTCACTGCTCACCGGTCATGTGTCTCTTTTTTTTTCCTTTATATCCTACCTGTCATTGTCTGTCATTTTTTGCTCAGAGTGCAGGTTCCATGGGATTTGGGGAAATCTTTTTGTTAAATACATGACTTGTGCCAAATATAGGTCTGCCCTGGGGTAGAGCTCTAGGTCCTATGGCAATAAAGATAATAAATGCTAAAAAATATGAGTAGACACTCATCACTTGAACAAAAAAGTCCCTTAGCAAGTCCTAATACACTGTGAAGAGCTAGGGCTAGATAGCTAGGCCTACCACATTAGAGCGCAGATTTATATCTGTTACAGAGACTGTTGCACAAGACCTATACAACTGTTTTACAGCATCTAAATGTATAGCAGCTTTTGTGTTTAGCTCCTTTTGCTATCAGTTGTAGAAGCTTCTTTTTAATTTCATTATTGCCCAAACTACATATCTTTCCATAGATTCAGAAAGCAACCGTAGCAATAGATCAGCTACAAGGTCGCTTACCAGAAAGCTCGGTGGAAAAGGCGTCCAAGACAGAGCTCCTGGAGCTCCTGGATTACCACAGCAGTTTCCTTCTGGAGGTGGAGCACCAGCTGTCCTCTTTGGGCCTGCTCAAACAGCAGGCTGTCAGCATGCTTCAGGATGTAGAAATAAAGTCTTCGTCTCAGAAGGAGCTACCAGTCATGCAAGAAATCAAAGCAATGCAAGATCGATGCCACAAGTAAAGCAATATTTTTAAAAATTCACTAGAACAATGATACCTTATAATTCATTAGTAAAAGTTCATGTATCATCTTTATTATCATTAACAATTACCATGCTTAAAATAAATATTAGTTACTACACTCAAAACAAGCATCTGTTTAATTTTAAACAATCCTTAATTAATTTTGAAATTTGTGTTTACTATTTATTATACGTATCAGTGGGATGATGCAGTTTAGAATATGTACTTCTTGCCTTGCATAGTAACAGTAACTTATATGAGCTGCATAGACACTAAAATTATAACTAATTTTAAACACTTCCATTGCATCTCCCCAGTAACAAGGAACTCTTATCTTTTTGTATCCTAAGTTTAGATTAATTTATCACTTTGTTTCCCTTATTGGAAGCACGTAGGTACCAACACAATAGTAGATATCTTATGAAATTTACAGAGGAGCTTAGTGCATCTGTAAAAGAAACATGTCTTAACAATTCACCCAGTGGTTATATGAATGTTTATCTAAATCTAAAATGTTTCCCCATCGTGTATGAAACAGGAAGTTTTATGGCTAAATTTCAGAACTTGTATCCACATAACTGCACTAAGATGCTATTAACTGGATCTCCACAGTGGGAAGAGAGGAGTGGAGAATGAAAAAACCGTAAACTCTGCACCTAGCTGGTGCAAAGTTCATTCTGTGCATGTGTAACTGATTGCTGTAGGATAGCAATCCCTGTAGAAAATGTGTAGATATTAGTACATTTATAATTCACAGAATCACAGAGTTGTTGAGGCTGGAAAAGACCTCTGAGATCATCAAGTCCAGCCTATGACCCAACACCATCACATTGGCTAGAGCATGGCACATCCAGCCTCTCTTTAAACATCTCCTGGGACCATTCTCTTAGAATTGGCTTCTGAGAAATAGCATCTGTGATGATTTCATGCTCATGTAAATAAAGTATAATTCAGCTATGAAAGGTTATAGAAATATAAATATGTCAAACTAAGTTCCATGTCGCATAGGTAAGAACTTCAAGTAGTCCTGCAGATCTTTCACAGAGCTGTTGTCTGAATAAGATCTGCTTCTTTACAGGAGATGAGAGTTTGTAAATTCTGTCTTAGTGGAAGTGTGGCACTAGGTCCCTGGATCAAAAATGGTGTTCAGATGTTTGACCCATGCCTTATTTAAGGTATTCTGCCAATGCAAATCCCATCAATAAGCATGGAATTAAACTCATATTATATCAGATTATAGATAACTGCATCTGAACTGGTTCATTCTTGCTCTCTAGTTAGTGGAGAGAAATAGACAGGTCTAAAAGGCAGTTGTTCTGGCCTGTTTTACAAATTTCTTTTAGAACAATGATGAATCATCCTAAATCATGCCCTAGAATTGCCTGCTTATTTCACTGACAATAAGGGCAGTTTGTGGTGATGAGCTTAGATATAGGTGTCTGTATTTTAAATATTTGCATTTCTTGAAAACGCTTGTGCACTTGTTGTCAAAACACATAAAACTGCTAATTAAAAGGAATGAGGCGAAGAGTGAACATGAGAAATTTAAATATGCTTCTTTAGTATTCCGTTGCAACACTGCCCCAGTTTTTATTACTCTGCATGTAGGGTATCAGTCATTATCTTCATTATTCATTTTTTGACAAAGTAATGTTTTTAGACATTGCTTAATTCTTCACAAATGGTTATGGTTTCTTTGTTTCTGAAGTATGCTGCAGAAAGTGAAAAAAGGTGTGAAGATGGTGAAACAGGAGCTGAAGGAGCGTGAGGAGGTTGAAGCTCAGATTAATATTGTGAAGTCTTGGATCCAGGAAACAAAAGAATACTTATTAAGCCCTGATGTAGAAGTGGATACTCAACTTCAGGAGTTGAAGGTTTGTAAAATTTGCCAATTTCTAAATTAAATCTTCATAGTTATCTGCTAGTGAGTGTTAATCAGTTCAAAACCACCAATTCAGATTAGAGAATATTAATTAGATTTTGAGTAAACCACTAGAAAAATTATAAATAATGAAGCAGCTGATGGGCTATAATACCTTATTTTAGAGATTCTTAAGATATATCTAAGTATTTGCATTTATGCAATTTTACGTACTAGCATGTTGTTTAGCAATTTTTCTCCTCTTGTCTAAAATATGAGAGAACCATAGAATGTGAATGGGCAGAGCATAACATTTCTGTCTTGACAGTTTGGGGTGGGAAGCAACAAAATAAAATGAACGTATTTCACTGGAGGTGCTGAAAACTTGACATTTTCTATATACATGTGGTCACACACGAACAGAGAACTGGACAGATAGTCATAAATAAGAATTCAGGGAAACACAAAATTCTTTTTAATGAACCCATTAAAAATTTGAAAATTATTCGCTTTGTCATAAGCTGCATGTAATGTATGCAGTTGCTAAGTTTACACAGACGTGTTTTTCCCATTGTTCTTAACAATACTGGTTTTTTTTCTATTAGTCTCTCCTTGGTGAAGTAACTACTCATCGCCAGGCTGTTGAAAAAATGGCTGAACAACAACAGAATAAGTACTTGGGGCTTTATACCATTTTGCCTTCCGAACTCTCTCTTCATTTAGCAGAAGTTGGGCTGGCCCTTGTAACTGTACAGGATCAGGTAAAGTATAATTAGATAAATGTGTTGTGTGTCTAGAGCCTTTCTTCAGACTTTGTGACTTAGTGAAATACAGCGTGAAAATGTGGTCAGACTATGACAACATAGAGTAGTTTTATTACCTTCTTCCTTTAATTGAAAGTAAGTTAAATGAAAGTTAATTTCCTTTCGGGAGGAGTGATTTCAGGTTACTGAATTTTGTTTTTATTGCTGACAGATTCAAACCAAAGAAAGAGAAACTCAGCAGATCAAAACATTGAATGAAGAGTTTGGTCAGAAAATCCAGAGGATAGCAAATGAACTAAATGCCATTCTTTCCAAACTGAAGAAGAAAACAAATGATATAGCACAAGCTAAACTTGAACAAAAGGTGAGACAAGGCTTTCATTACTTGGTTACACCGTAAATTCTTCTAAATGGGGACACTCACTTCATACCAAAGTTGTATTCATAAAGATTTGCGTGACATGTTTTTTAATGTAGCTTAACAGAAAAATGGCCAGAAATAAAGTTGGTTGATGAGATTTTTTAAAAATTATATTCTTTGCAAATGTGTCTCTGAAGAATGACTATGACTGCAATCTGGGAAAGCTGGAGAGGCTCCCAAACTGCTCCTTTTCCCAATCTGTGCTGAAAGGACCATTCTTTACAGTACACCTGTACCCGCAATAAGTAGAATTTTATTTAAGCGAGTAGTCCATATCGTACCATTTGGTGCAATAATGAGGTAAGTACTACTGGTGCAGTTAAGGTAATGCGAAGGACTCTTGCCGGTTTTCTTAATCTTATGTGTGTGCCACAGTCTGAACAGCTCATCTGTACTGAGGTGTAATGGCCAACCTAGGATTATCATATGAGAGTAAGTCATTTGTGGGGCAAAAGGTCGTGGAGGGGCTGGTTGAGGGTGTTTATTTTTTTGTTTGTGTGTTTGCTTTGGGTTTTTAACTAGTCAAAGAAAAACTTGACAAAGTTACTGTCTGAAAGTAAGCAAAACATACCAAATATGAGAAGATTTGGCATGTCTGGTATGTTAAAAATTACCTGTGTATTTTCACAAGTTGCTCTCAGTATACTCCAAAGTACCATTTGGTTTGCAGGAAGTGTCACTTAAATTTATCCCTTTAAGTGTGGTGTGTCTCTTTTGTTCCAGTAATTAAGCAGAAAGATAGTGATGTGTGCTTTCCCTCATTGCATAGAAGAAAACTCTGTCACTGGAGGTTTAGTGATGTTCCCTCAACTGCATTTATGGTAGCACTCGGCGGATACTCCTGAATTTGGGTTGACTTTGGTTACAGCAGTAAATATTTTTGTATTAACATTGAAACTGATTGTGAAAAATAAAATAAAAAATCTGGTTTAAATCCAGGTGACCCAAGTCAAATGGACCCTTCCCTCACTTTTAAACAGCACATAAATTCTACATCCTTTCTATAGTAGGCATTTATTTCTGCCTGCCTGAAATATGTGTCTCTGTATCTAGATGAGTAGTTCAACATCTCTCTTTGTATCTACATGTAGGTAGATATGTCACTAAATTCATGGAATAATATTTGTTTAATAACAATTGATCTTACACTTACACTCTAATGTGTGTCTGCCAGGACAGCCCTAACCTGAAGATCTTGAAGTAACTTCTTGAAACGCCTGTAGCTAGGGCAGTGTTCTGAATCCATTTTTGTCTGATCATTGCTATTTGATTTTCTAAAAATAATCGGAAGGGGGCTAGAGTGTTTGTTGAGACTTATTTTATTCATATTGCAAAATACAGGGAAAAAACCAACAGTACCCTTTCCCCAAGAAACTGTAGCCCCTAAGTGTGTTATCAGTATGTGAGATGTGGTAAACCTTTTAGGTTTCTTTTTTAAACTTTACAGAAACTTAGTAACCATGGTAAGAAAAATTGATTTTAAAATCTCTTTCTATTGAAGCAGTCTAGCATGATCCAGACTACTACTCTTGCGTCAAGATCCAGCTATGAAAATGCAAATTGCAAATGAAAATGAAAGTTTTTATAATGCATTAATGAGTAATTATGTATTTCTGAGTTTGTAAGGGTGTATTTTAAGACGGCAACAAAACAAAACGCCTTTGCATTAAACAAAAATCCTTGTCATGGCAACTTGTACTCACTATTTATTTCAAAACCAAACACAGAATGATTGCCAAGAACTGTTAGTGTCTCTCTGTCGCTCTAAAGTGACTCAGTGTTTTGCTGTGGGAGGGCAAATAGTTACCCATTTCAGCCAGGAAGTCAGAGAAGAAAGAGCAATGACACACATGTAAGAGATGACCAAATATCCCGCTGTTCTGCCTTCCTGCTTAGACAAGCATTGTTGATTTCCAGCCAGATTAAAAATGGAACAAACCATGGAGACTTTGGACAGGGTATAAAAGTTGCAAGTTAGACTAGAAATAATTAACCAGAAAGCCAACATTTCCTGGATCACTGATGTTCTTGTTTTTCTGTCTAGATCCTTGGTGAAGAGTTGGACAGCTGCAACATAAGGCTGTTGGAATTAGACGCATCAGTGCAGGACTTTGCAGAGCAGAATGTACCGCTGGCTAAGCAGCTGGCTAGCAGGATAGGGAAACTCACTGCACTGCACCAACAGACTGTACGACAGGCTGAGTACAGAGCAGCCAAGCTTGGTCAGGTATGATCTTAAAAATCCTTTCTGCTGTTTCCTGTCAGGAGCAGAAGGAGCATGCGCAGCTCTTTGTTTTCCAGTAGATATCCAGGTAGGGGTATTCCCTGGCACATCTACCTATTATTAGTCAGGGCTTGCATTACACCTCAATCAGAGGCACAGATGGGTCAGATCAGGAGGGTGGAAAAATTCTGTAATGCTGCTTTAACATCCTCTTCCATGAATCATCTGCTCATTGGTTCCTCTGGTGGCCTGAAAATATTATAGACCTTCTCAGAAACAGTAGCGTGCCAGGAAGTAGTATTTCATTGTACTTTACAGGACTTGTGTTTTATCATGGTTACCTATATTTGCAACATTACAAAAGTAATATATTTTTAAAAATTTTTGCCTTGCTCACAACCTGTAGAGGATGAATATAATGTGTGGATTCAATAGAAAAGCCTAGATGCAATAGCCCTGATAATGCAAAATGCTGATGCAGCATTTTGGCATTTGTAAAGATGCTATCCCTGTGGTTCAAATCCCCTGAAACTTCCTTAAATATTTTTTGATAGTTGTTGTTATCCCAAAAAACTCTAGCTAAAAGCTATAAATAGATTTTCTTTTGTTCTGCCATCAATACCCTGATAAGTTCCTTTTTTTTCGTGCATGAAGAATCTTCTCTGAGGCTTGAAAAATATAACTATTTCGTGATATTCCTCTCAATTTCCTCCGAAATTTTGTTTTAAAGAAAAACAGAAATTTACTCTCCAAGTAAGAGTTCAGGAAAAGGTACTTGGTGAAGAGATTTAACCATTAGGATATCTTTGTTTAGCAACAAGAAATCCACTTCCTGTCATAAAATATTTTAGGTAAGGCAAACTGCCTGCAAATACAGTTTAGTCACCTTGGATTTGATCCGTCCTTCATGCAGGACAAATGCATGAAAATCAGTGAAATACTCCTGCTAAGTGAGAAGAAAATTGAAACTAAAGACTACTTTGCTAAATAGAAATTGGGTGAATCGGAATGCAGAGCTTTTGTCCATTATTTTGAAATAAGTATAACATTTCTGTTGATGGAAATATGACTGAATGGACAGTGCAGGTTTTTAAAAAAGTTAATTTGGGGAAAGAGACAAAGAACAGTGGCACAGAGGAGATTTGCAGTGAGACACAAATTGAACAAGAGGGTATTTTGGAGCTTACATGGGAGGCTGAAATATATGCAGGAAGTGTAACTCTTAGGATATATTTGAGCATCAGTGCACTCTCTCAGTGTGACCTACATTCTTATAGTGCCTTTTTTCCCCTGAAATAGATATACTTGCTACTGGAAGAAGACCTATTTTAACTCCATAAATATAGAAGTAATTAAATTATATTCAACAGTAAGGAAAAGTTGTTAAAATTATCCCCGAGTTAAAAACAGTAAATGAAATGAAATTAATTTTATCATTCTCTAAGAACTGTGCAGAACTGCATCTTAGACTTAAGTGGATTTTTCTTTTACATGCAGGCTGCTTCACACTTGGAAGAATACAGTGACATGCTGGAGTTCATACTGAAATGGATCGAGAAAGCAAATATCTTAGTGCACGGTAGTATAACATGGAATTCTTCCTCTCAGCTTCGTGATCAGTTTAAAGCCTACCAGGTGATTGTATGACCTTTGAAATTTAGAAGGCAGTGTATCAAAGATGTTACTTTCTAAGCAGTGAAGTTTTATTTCCTACACCTTTTTTGCCTCCTTTCCTTCAGGAAAAAAGGTTTAAAAATGCTATGTGACTTTCTTTTGGCTGCTCCTCCAAGTGTTGTAGATGATTTAATTTGGGTTGGACAATTGTTTTGACTGAGATAAAGATATATTGTTGAATAAAACCACATGATTCAAAATTGATCTTCATGTCTAATCAAGTACATAGTAATCAAGTACATGTCTAATCAAGCTTCATAGTAGCTTTTGATTGAATAGTATGTCTATACACTGTCATTCTATCACTCTCAGTACCTCATTACAGCTAATATATCTCAAAAATTTTAAAGAAACAATTATTTTCTTTTTTTTTATATTTTATTTTCTCCTTTACACTACACTGGAATAGACTTTGTTCTCATCCAATGAGTTTCACACTAATTGTTCTCAAGCTGATACTCATTGGATGAGTTTCTTCCAGTTCCTTCCTGAACATCTCACATCACATTGCTGTCGTTGCAACAGTGCAATTTTTTCTCTGTGTGCCTGTGTATGGAATGTGTAAGTTGCATTATTAGAGCGGTATGATAAGCTTCAAGCTTGACCAGTGTCACATGACCACGTGAAACAAATCAAAGCATCGTAAGGTGATCGCGTCTCACTAGTGCCAAAATGTGACTACTTAATTACAGTTTTTATATATTCGTTAGTTAATTCTCAGCTGCATTTAGGCAATGAAGTATGTCACACTTTTCTGTTCTGAATAGGAACCTCTAGGCCATTTATCCTGAGGATAACTTAGCATTTCCGGTTTGTTCTTTCTATGGCTTTTTTCCTCCTTCAAAAGTTAGTGAGGAGACTGGCTTAACCAATGCCATTCCACAGAACACAGTGGCAGCCATTTTTTAGGCAGCATTAATCATAGAATCATAGAATTGTCTGGGTTGGAAGGGACCTTAAAGATCATCTCGTTCCAACCCCCCTGCCATGGGCAGGGACATCCCCCACTAAACCAGGTTGCTCAGAGCCCCATCCAGCCTGGCCTTGAACACATCCAGGGAGAGGGAATCCAGAACTTCTGTGGGCATCCTGTTCCAGAGTGAGCATCCATTGCTGGCTCAGATTCCATTTTTCTTCCACCAACACCCCAAAGTCCTTCGCTGCAGGGCTGCTCTCAATCCCTTCATCGCCCAGCATGTATTGATACCAGGGATTGCCGCATGTGCAGAATCTTGCACTTGGCCTTGTTGAACTCTATGAGGTTGGCATGGGCCCACTTCTCAAGTCTGTCAAGGTCCTTCTGGATGTCATCCCTTCCCTCCATTGTGTCAGCCTCCCTGCTGTAACACTTAGCCCAAGTGCTTTCTACTGCTTCCTATTAGGTACATCAGGCTTCCAGAACAAATCTTATCCATAGATTGTGCGTATTTTTACAGGAAGGAGTGTGTAGCAAAACACTAAATTGAGTATGTTGATAAGTGCAGCTGCTGAAGCTTCCTGACTTATTCCTTGATTTCCCAGTCTCCATAAGATGAAGCACTTTAACATACACTCAGAATTAAGCATACTGCCTTAGCCTTACAGGAAATCAGTAGAACTTAATCATTTGCTTACAGATGTGTACAAATTGAGGAGTTTGCAAAACAGGAATTGCTTGAAGATATGTTTAATCTGAAGCTCAACTTTGGCATTCAATTTGTTCATATCTCCATCTAGACTATGCTTGATGAGTCTGCAGAGATTCATGGGGATCTTGAGGCCATGAGTGAGAGGATTGAGTATCTAGCAAGTGTATATTGTACTGAAGGAATGTCACAACAAGTTCTGGAACTGGGACGGCGGACAGAGGAATTACAGCAAGTTATCAAAGTGCAGCTACCAAATCTCCAAGATGCTGCCAAGGTATGTGAAAGCAGTTTTTCTAATGCTAGCTGGCAGCTTGGATGGTTTGTGCATCATATTTCCGAGACTATAAGCAGTGCAGATGATCTGTGTTCTGGAAAGGTCATGATTGTGTTGCCTGAAGTTAGATATCTTGTGCCACTGAGATACTACTTTCAAGTGCTGTTCCAGACAGGGACAAGTTTCCTGCAGGTCCTGTCATTGGCCATTCTGAATGTATGTACTGGGGACCATGGTGTCTCAAATGGCACTGAATGCCCATGTTTAGATACTTGAAAAGTGTTTGCATTGGCACTTACAGTGTGCCATATCTTTTATTTTTCTCTTAAAAGACATCTAAAGTCTGCTGTCTGTTAATTCAGATCAATACTGGGCCAGCCAGGATTCCGTAATGTAAGCCCTACCTCTACAATGGAATGCAGTGAGAAGAATGAAAGTGTTTTTTTGATGTTGCTGACATTTCTGTGCAGCTCTTCCATATTGGTTTATTGTTAATGTCAATGTGTGTTATGCCTATGCAATGCCTGAGGGCATGCTAAACTGATGCAAGACACAGTGAAAAACACAGAATTTTTTTCTACTTGCTCTTACCTTCAGGACAAGAAATCTTTTCAATTTTTTTTTCTCTTAATTGATACAATAATTCAGGAAAAAATGTATATTGGAATGGTATAGTTAGTATACTTATAGAGGTTCTTTTGCTGTCACCTGTTACAGTTACATACTACTTAACAGGAAAATACCTAAAGGCAATTAAGAGAGTAGGCTGTCACCAGATGTTAGAACAATTGCAGCTAATGTTAAAAATGGCCCTTCTCCACGTTTGACTCTTATTTCCCAACATTTACAAGAAACAGCAGAAATGCTGCATCTGCAGCAGCTGTAACAGGGTAACAGAAAGGTTTTGAAGAAGAATTCTTTCCTTTGCAAAAGCACAAATCAGTAAACCACATTTTATGAGCTGAAGGCTTTTATTATTTTATTTTTTTTCATGGAACAAACCAGATTCACATATAAGTACATATAATAGAAGTGAAACTTACTAGCTTCAGTACTCAGAGATATGTTGGAACAATTGAATAAACTGGGAATTCTTGTAAGAAAACATAGAGATGAGTGGAATTCAACACAGATTTATGAAGAAAAGAAAATCATATCAAAAATGTTCAATTTAATGTGAAAATAATAGACAGATTCATATAGAAATGTACAATGTGTCATATATCTTGACCTTAATGTTTCACATTGTATTTTTATTACCAAAGTTAATGTTTATGTATTTGAAAATACAATAGGCACATGTAAAGCTTACTAGAAAACTTAACTGATCTGTAAGTATCAGTGGTTCACAGCCCAAAAGGAGGTATATACATCAAGCAGGGTTTTTCACGGTTCTCCCTTGGGACTGGTAATATTCAACATTGTCATTAATGAGTTGGATGGTGATTTAGAGATCATGGCTTTTGGGATGCTTAGAAAACACCAAATGTAGAGACTAATTGAAAAAATTAGGCTGCCCTATAACAGAGACGGGGGCAGATTGTTCTCTTTAGATGGGAAAAAACAGACATGTTCCTCTGAATGAGGAACTACTGACTTGATGCAGCATGTTGGAAGGTCTGAAGTTTAATAATGCAGATCATGGGAAAATGGTCAACAATGTTGCCTCATTGTAAAAAATTCAAACACCGTGCAGAAAATAATGTATGTAATTCTAAGATATGTGAAGAAGTCCTTCTGTTCTACCTTTTGGTCTCCAGCGAGGTTTCCAGTTTTGTACTTGAAGAGAGATGTGGACTGACTAGAGAGAGAACAGAAGAGAGTGATGATTGCGATTTTGTATAGATTTGTACAAAAGATGCATGAGAAAGGATTATCCTAACATGCAATGTATGCAAAGAAAATAAAAATAATTTGTTCTTCATATTTATTGTCAATGGAAGAGTAAGTAGAGGATTGAAATTGCAACAAAAGTTTAGTTCGTGTCAGACTGTCAGAAAAAACTTCCTGCAAAAAAAATACTGAAATCGTCCAATACGTTTACTGTGGAAATGAGTGGGGCTCCACTGCTAGTGGTCTTCAAGAACAGTATATAGAGATAAGAGAGTTATGTCCTGTCTTGTTACAGGAAGATAACTAGAGGACATCTTGAGTTCCTTTCTGGGCCTCGAACATTGTGAAATGAACTTTATAAAATATATGCTGTATTTGAGATTAAGGAAGTACTTAAAATAATAACTGTGGTTTTGAGATCTCTTTTTCTAGACTGGTTATGTGACTGGTATATTTATCTGATATTTTAAACATTAAAAGTCATTGTTAAAACTGAATTAATTTTGGCACTGTATATGAGGGACATAGCTACAAAATCAGGTATGCTTATTGTGATTTTTTTCTTTCTTTTTTTGGTCTTACTTATCCCTGAATGGAATGTGTTGTGTTATAGGACATGAAGAAATTTGAAGTTGAGGTGAGAGCCCTGCAGGCTGCTCTGGAGCGAGCCCAAGCCACACTGACCTCTCCGGAGCTTGGGCATTTGAGCTTGAAAGAGCAGCTTTCTCACAGACAGGTAAAAGGCCAGGACCTCAAAGTTAGCACTCGAGTAGTGTGAGTTTATATAAAGAACAGTGAGTGTTGGTGAGAGTGATTGTGGGTCGTTGTTTCGGAGTCTAGCCCCAAATTACTACCATTGGGAGCAAGGGATGGAAAGGGAAAAATCTTCCACTTGAAAGGAATGGTTGAAGTATGATCTTTCATGTGTCCGTTATTAGGTTGATGCAATTCTGAAAAATGTGCACCAGTCCAAGTTTAATCAACAACAACAACAACAACAATAAATACCAGTTCTTATCCAGTGCTTTTCATCAAAAGGTTCTTAAAGTACTTAAGAAGGAAGTCTGGATTGTTATCATCCTTTTACAGATAGAGATGCAGTAAGGTGGTGTGTGGCTAGCTCCTCGAATAGTCAACTGGAAAGCTGAGAGAAAATTCAATTTTCCTTAAGCCCGGTTACATTTTTGTATGTTATCCATGAGATATTGCTACTTTCTGTATTGTACTTGGCCTGCTGTGGAGATTTGCTATTTTTGGTCTCAGTATCATGACAAGAAAAATAACCCAAATTATATAGCATTCTGAGTTAAGAAATGTTTCTTGCTGCAAGCTAATACAGAGATTTAACGGTCTTCATCTGCCAGTGAAAACTAAATGTCAGCAGGTCTACTTTAGGGTCTTGGAGGGTGCCTAGCTGGCATGCAGCCCCCAGGGTGCCTCTGGGTGCCAAATGCACCCTTTGCCAGCAGTATGGGGCCTACCAGAGGCCTCACCAGTGATGTCTGAGGGATCGGTCTTTACACCAAATGTGCGGTTAGATTATCCACCATATGTCACGAAGACAGAGAAGCAAAGAGCAAACCACAATCCTCTCATCAGTATGCACTTCAGACCCACTGAGTTACCTTTCTGCATATGGTATAGGGGAAGGGAGACGGACAGTCTTTATCCCTGTTTGCCACATGTGCTGTCAAGCTGATTTTTAACCATTGAACTTAAAGTCATTTTCTAAGGTCCTTTTCATCAGCTTTGCCTTTTTCTTTTCTTTTTTTTAATTTATGTGGTTTTATTTTCTATCTGTGAATACGTTAAACTTCCCAATAAAGATAAAAAGAGCACTGATCAAATTTATTCTCCAGTCACTGCACTTAGACCCTTCTCATGCATATGAACAGACAGCTTGAATGGACTTTGTGAATGGAATAGAGACTATTAACAAAGGCATCCAGCACATGATTATTCAAAGGAAAAGATTTCTGTGTAGCTGTATGTCTTTCTGTTTGATCGCCTTTTGAATTTTATGCAGCATTTCCAGCCATGGTCTGTGTTTTCAAAGGAAGGCTGTGAACACAGTGAGGTTCATTTGCTGGTTTTCAAATGTACTGTGTCTCAGCAGGGAGTTCTATTTGGATTTTAACATTATGTGTATGCATAAATGACTCTTAGGCTGCTTTGATTTGTGGATTTTTGTAAAGATATTTTAAGAGAGATATCTTTGTACTTAGACACTTAGAAATAAGTACTATTAGCTTTTTCATGAATTGTTTTCGTTACATGAGGTTTTTGCTTAACTAATTTTTAAAAGTATCCTTGCTGCAGAATGAGCAACTACAGAAGAAGTGTGCCATAATTGTATTCAATTTGGAAAACAGATAATCAAATTTGTTTTGGTGGCTGGACTAGATGATCTTTTGAGGTCCCCTCCAACCCCTAACATTCTTTGATTCTGTGCTTGGGCTCATCATTATTTTTCTATTGCTAAGTAAAATGCCCTGGGAGCTCTGCAAAATTGTCTAATACTGTGGCACCGATTTTGTTTCTAGCACCTGTTGTCTGAAATGGAGTCGCTGAAGCCCAAAGTCCAGGCGGTACAAGTCTGTCAGAGTGCCCTGAGGATTCCTGAGGAGGTGGTCACCAGCCTGCCCATGTGCCACAGTGCCCTCCGGCTCCAGGAGGAGGCCAGCCGCCTGCAGCACACGGCCATTCAGCAGTGCAACATCATGCAGGCAAGTGCAGCTCCGTCCCGCGCATTTTGCATCTCTGTGCATTCCTCTCTTCTGTGTAATACCATTAGGAGGTTCCCTGCTAAGTTTCAGTCATTTCTGACTCCATGTTTTTGGGAGTTTTAACAATCATGGTCATGTCAACCATTGTTGATTTACTCATCAGATTCTCAGCTCGGTTCTCTCTGTGATCTTGCTGGTTTTCTCTAATGTTTTTAGGAATAATTCATCACGTAGCTAATATACAAATGTATGCAGGTTAATTTTATAATAAGTATAATCAGTTAATGAAATTAAGATAACATTATAGCATCAACCACTTATAATGATTGCATAAAAAACCATTGAGTTCATCAAATGACTTTCCAGGATGAAAATATTTTTTCCTCTTTATTTAAAATTCAGCATCTATTAAATTTGCATTTTCAAATTTTGCTAAATACAAGAAAACTAGGTTTTGTTTGATTGTTAGAGTTTATAATTAAACATTTAAAATCATGAAGTTCCACAAGACCAAGCGCGAGGTCCGGCACCTGGGTCAAGGCAGTCCCAAGCACAAATACAGGCTGAGCAGAGAACAAGTTAGGACCAGCACTAAGGAAAGGACTTGAGATGAGAGACTCAACATGAGCCAGCAGTGTGCACTTGCAGCCCAAAAAGCAAACGTGTCCTGGGCTGCGTCAAAAAAGGAGCATGACCAGCAGGTTGAGGGAGGTGATTCTTCCTGTCTGCTCTGCTCTGGTGAGGCCCCACCTGGAGTCCTGCATCCGGTTCTGGAGCCCACAGTACGAAAAGGACATGGACCTGCTGGAGCAGGCCCAGAGGAGGGCCATATGAAGATGATGAGAGGGCTGGAGCACCTCTGCTGTGAAGACAGGCTGAGAGAGCTGGGGTTATTCAGCTAGAGAAGAGAAGGCTCTGGGGTGACCTAGTAGTGGCATTCCAGTACGTGAAAGGGGCCTACAGAAAACCAGGAGAAGGGCTTTTGACAAGGGCCTGTAGTGATAGGACAAGGGGCAATGCCCTGAAACTGAAAGAGGGTAGATTTAGATTAGCTATTAGGAAGAAATTCTTCACCATGAGAGTGGTGAAACACTGGAACTGGTTGCCCAGGGAAGTTGTGGATGTCCCCTCCCTGGCAGTGTCCAAGGCCAGGCTGGATGGCGCTTTGAGCAACCTGGGCTAGTGGGAGGTGTCCCTGCCCACAGCAAGGGGGTTGGAACTAGATGATCTTCAAGGTCCCTTCCAACCTTAACCATTCTGTGATTTCTGAAGAAGAGAATAAGGTTTCATTTCCTACTATTTAGTGATAGAAAAATACATAGTGAGCTAGGGTACAACTTCAAGTTAAGTAACAGGAAACTTTCTACCGTTAAGGATACTTAATGATACTTAAGGACAAGAAAGAGTACAATGTCACACTAAAAAGTTTTTAAAACTGGTTAAACAAACTGCTGGTAAACCTATGATAGAAAGACTGATTCTGCACTGGTAGAAATCAGTCTGAATCAATCAATCTCAGTTATATTTTCTGTAAAATCTAGGTTTTTCATACAGTATTTCCACTTAATAAATGGGGGCTTGAAGTGAAAAAGCAGATGAAAATGCTTTTTAGTAAAACTAGGCAATGCTGTCTTTTGGTGCTTATATTTGGTGCAGATATGTGTTGGAAGCAGAAATTCTGGCTCCTTATATTGCATATCTAAAACAATATGTTATGCGAACTGATCTTTGGAAACAGTTGAATAAATGAAACCACTGAATTCATTGCAGTTCACAGTATTTCTGAACAGACTTTTTCCTTGACAGTGTTCCTGCTTTGTGTATCCAGGTGCAAATGCCAGAGATGTAAATTTGTTCTACTTCAGAAAGGGGACTGGGCATGCTTGACCTAAGTAAATATTTATTTCCATGTGGACGCTCAATTATTTTTTCCCCCTCTAGGAAGCAGTGGTTCAGTACGAGCAATATGAACAGGAAATGAAACATTTACAACAAATGATAGAGAGTGCTCATCGTGAGATCCAAGACAAGCCAATAGCAACCAGCAACATCCAGGAACTCCAGGCCCAGATTTCACGTCATGAGGTAGGAAAGCCAAAATGCAACAACACTTGCTCAAAGGCAGAAAACCCCCAAGAACTTTTCATAAGCAACAGTCACAAATTAGCTCAGCAGCTTTTCAGAGTTCTTCAAGTCTAGTTGATTAGATAGGAAACTCATGCTATTGGTACCATGTGTATTCGTTTGTTTCTCCAGTTAGATGTGTTCTAATCTCCAGGCAACAGTATGACAAACAAAAGCATTGCATAATTAATGGACAGCTAACATTGGCACTTGACCAGGAAGTATCCCAGAGGTCAATGTTGAGCAGTCAATCCGGTGATCACTGCTAGTTCAGTGATCCTTTTATATATATGGATGTCCTGAAGTACTTACACATTTCCATCCTGTAAGAGAACATCAAGGAACTTGAATCACAGGAAAACCACAGTAGATTTTGGGGAAAACTCTGCAATGTTCTGCTCAAAGGCTTCTTTTAAAGCCATTGTTGGGAAGAGTTTTGTCCTGTGGAGTTAAAGGTCTTGTCCTGAAACTCATTGACTAGCAGCTCTCGCAGGAGTCAGGGTAGTCTCTGTGCAGCCTTCTCACTTGTGCTGACATAGGAGCTCCTGAGCTGCTTTCCCCATCCCCTGTCTACTGTGTATTTCTTGGGATAGAAAATGGACCATTGATGTCTGTGTGTCACTTTTGGCACCAGATGGCACCATTTCTTTACTTTTGAATTAAAGCTATCTCCTATTATGTAGTATAACCTAATATTATATGTGTTGCTTGTTTTCTATCCAAGTGTTAAAGAAGTTACTTAGTATCAGTGCAGAGCAGTTTGCTTAAACAAACACTTCTGGGTTTTTAGTACTGAAGTAATAATGCTACTATTCTGTACAAATGTTCTGGAATGGCACATGCAGGAGAGCGACTTCGGTGATACAGGGTAATGTTGCTGGAGGAAGGAAAGATGCTGCAGAGAGGAATAGATTAAAAATGAGGTAGCTTGAAGTTTCATTGGCATTTCAACATGTTCAGGGAGTCCTTCTAAAAAACTGCAGGAAGGCAGCAGCTTTAGTCTGTTGCACATGTTGGGATCACCAGGGCAGAAAGCTTTCTTTCTTGGAAGCTTTACACATTTAGGAGTAAGGAGTATTTGAAAGACTGAGATGTGCATACTTTTGGCTCATATTTGATCTGCTTAATAACTGTGGAAAAGCACAGCATAAAGGGGATATACTGAACCCTGTATTATTATACTGCTTCAAAAGGCCAGTCTGTCAAGCTGCTTGTTACATGTGTTATTAATTTAAGAAAACTTCAGTTACCAGGTTCCCTATTGAAACATGAACAAGAACTTAAAGAGACGTTTGTAGTAGCTATATTTAGAATTTAAAAAAGAGGAAGAAAGTAGAAGGAAAATACACCCTGATTTGTAGGAAGCTTATATGACTATGCATGTGTATAACTAGTTACATACCGGAACTGCATTTATTGAAACATGTTTCTTTAGACTTTCAGATTTTAGAACGTGGAATTAGACAGTTGTGTATTATTTTAAAAGACAGCATAGCATCTCATAGGACATTGCTTTTATAAGCTGCTTTCTTTTTTTCACAATCACGTTTTTGCCTCCTCTTCCTTTTCTTTGTTTTCAGTTGAGAGATGCTCAGTTAGATATTGGGTGCATTGGATATTAATGTCACAAATAGTACTGCATCTCAGTAATACTGATGGAACCAAGTGGGTATATTGAATGATAGTAATTTCCTACAGAGCCCCAAAGATGTCATTCACTGAGCATTGGTGAATGACTGGTACTTGCCAAACAGCGCAGATAACTATTCTAGTTGCTAGACATTAAAGTTACGGCTTGATTTCATCTAGGTTTGGGTTTCAATTATCTAGTTGATGTCATACTCAAGGCTTTGCTTAGTCTCCAGGATAAGCCTTGGAGATCCAAGAAGGCCCCCTTTTTTTACTCTAGTAACAGTGACCAGATACCACTGAAACCCAAGCAGTAAAGTATCATCCTCTGTCTTTGTGCTGCTTCCATTGCTAACTCTGTATTTCTTGCTTTGGCGGTTCTGCACTCTGATTTTGAGGAAAAAGTTTCCTGAAGATGTTATACAACCAAAAAATCTGTTAATTTTACCAGCCTGAAGCAGTAATCTTATTTTACTTTTTAAAAGATACTGTAATACTTTTTATTATACCTACTAGATCTTGGAACTTCTGTTGCTGTTTTTTTCCTTGAAAACCTGTGCTTCTTGAGGAAATAAAGGCAGATATAAAAGTAAAGGAGAAAAATATACTTGAGTGAATAATCACTGATTTAGCAGTCCAGATTATACAAATGTTGTTTTTACCTTGCAGATCAAAATTCCATCGTGTTACTGAACCTCTAAGGGAGACAGGAATGATAGCTTTGGCAGAAATATGAAAATCTTCCACTGTTTTTTAAGTATATTAATTGAAAGCTTTGAAACTGGGCACTGAGCTGGGCAGTAGCATAGGTCAGGAGAGGAGACAAGTCAGTTTCTAAGGCTATTCATTTCTCAGGCTTTCTTCTCTGACTAAACTTAAACATGGTATTTGACCATGCAGACAGATCATATCATAGCCCTATAAAACAATATTTTAAAATATACTTTGCCTTAGACTAGATTCTCCAGCTCTTTTTAAAGAAAGGTTAGTACTGTGTGCAGCTTTTAACTCTGAAGACTTAGACAAAACCAAAAGAAGATTAAAATATAGCTTATCCAAACACTGGGAAAAAGTGATCCAGTCTGCATTTAATCTTATTATGTGACTGATTGTTCCCATCACATTTGATCTTTTTAGACGCTGTGGGTTATCGTTTGAACAATTCATCCTTTCTGGCGAGAGCTGAATGGGGCATTTTTTACAGTAGTTGTTACCACATGACCTCATTTCCATGGCATGCACTATTGCGGAGGAGCTTCATCTTCCTCAGATATATGGAAATAGAACGGGAGGGGGAGAAAAATAGGACAGCACGGGGGAGAAACGTTCCCCTTTGCTGCAGCCTGAAGCTTATAGACTTGGCGTCAGGTTCGGGCTGGATGGCAGCGTGAGGTGTCTCTCCCTCCCCTCTGCGATTACTGTGTGCCCAGAGCCTTTCGCCGCACTTTTCCGGTTTTGCTTCAGAGCTCTGGGCTCTGCGGTTTAGCTGTGCAGCCAGACGCAGCCTGACTTGTTCCCTCCACTATCAACATCCTGCTTGTCACAGCTAGTACTGCGCCTTGTGCGGGGTTTCTGGAGGCAGCGCTGTGATGTTATGGGCTGGGCTTGGAGGGGAGAGCTTGCCTTCGCCACGGAAGCTGAAATGCTGCCGGTCCTGTGGCCTCCATTGGCTGCCTCTGCATTAGGGAAAAAAAAATGTTTCCTCAGGAGCTGGCTCAGAAGATCAAAGGATACCAGGAGCAAATTGCCTCTTTGAATTCAAAGTGCAAGATGCTGACAATGAAAGCAAAACATGCCACCATGCTGCTGACCGTGACAGAAGTGGAGGGGCTTTCGGAGGGAATGGAGGAGCTGGACTCGGACCTGCTCCCAGCCCACCCTGCTCATCCCTCGGTGGTTATGGTAAGGAATGCATTGGTCCCAGTGCCGTTACCTGAGCTGCTTGCTTTTGCATCATTGCAACACTCCTGTGTAGCAAATTGCCACAGCTCACATCTACATTTTGCTTTCGAAATGGCTGGAGTGTGGCAAACAAACAAGTTGCAGCTTCCTCTCACTGTTTTTTGCTTTATATGGGGTTTCAAGACTTGTTGATAAAGGATGAAGTTATTTAACAGACAAATACCAGTGGAAGTTGTCTGTAATAGATGCACATACAGTGCTTTTTCATAGCTGTCAGCACACAAGTGCAAATGCTGAGAAACTGCAGTTACAAGATAAAATGAGAACAAATATTACTTTGTAATGTGTCACAGTATATAGGTTTTAGACACCATATTTTTAAAGCCCTTGTCTTAAAGTGTTGTTGTGGTAATTGACAGTATGCTTCTATATTCCCAGATCAGTGTGCTGAAAATTAACACTGTTTAAGTACTGCTATAGGCCTCATGTTTGAATTACTCTGCTTTTGTTTGTTTCTAATTGAGTCTCATTGCAAACATACTGCTGATCCTATTGGGATTTTTGCCTGAGTGAAAATAAAGTGCAGATTTCAGGATTTATCACTGTGTAACAGCATTGAGGAAGCAAGAGGAATGTGTTGCTACTGGATTATGTGTATTTTATATTGCAAGTCTATTCCTTGTTCTGACCAGGCCTGGATACTGAGGCAAATACTGCATTATTCTGTAGCTCTCCATAGTATTTCCATATGTGGCAGTGATTGTATTAGAAAACACTTAAGCAACCCCAAATTTGTTATTATTGAGCTACTTGCTGTATGTTTTCTCTTAAATTCATTTGGGTACAGGAGAGCATGTTCATGCTGAATTATGACAAATAAATGAGACTATTGACTTCAACCAGGTTTTTAAACTGGTAAATGTAGGATAAAGAAGTGTGACTAAATAATGTCATGGTAATTCTGACCATGTGGTGCTTTTCTTGTTTTGATCTCAGTCTAAGTCAAACTTAAGTTGAGGTAACTTGTTTTCTTCCTGTGATCTGGGGTTGCTTTTCCTGTGGCAGATGACTGCTGGTCGCTGTCACACGCTGCTCTCCCCTGTCACTGAGGAGTCTGGGGAGGAGGGAACCAACAGTGAGATTTCTTCTCCACCTGCCTGTCGCTCTCCCTCACCTGTGGCTAATACAGATGCTTCTGTTAACCAGGTACCTCCATCTTGGCATTCATTCAGCTTTTTTCTCAGAGATGCATGGTTCCATTCCACAGGTGGTTTATTTAATCCTCTGAAGTAGTATTTACCTATAGCTTCAAGGAACTGAGGCTTAACCTCTAACCTAAATGAAGAGTCAGGCTGTAGTTCAGAATGGATGCAGATATTGACTTTGGAGTTTAAAATGTATAAATCTAGTGTCACAGCTATTCACTCTTTTAAAAAATAAATTTTAAGTGACAATCGCAAGGCTCTTCCATATCACTACTATTTTCTATTTATAACCATTTATTTTCTTAGTAGTACTCAATGGAATCTTGCATCCTGAGAAAAAATGCAATTTTTTTACTCCCCATAATAAAACATTGTATTATGTCCGTATACATCTATCTTACTGTAGCATTGCCACTGTAGCATTGAAGTCACAGTCTGATATCTTCCACTTACTACCATTTCAAGTATTAACTTTCATGTACTTTTTTTAATGTGTTGTTCATTCCATACTTTCTGTGACAGTCTATTTTAAGTGCTAATGAGGCACATAGGTGAAATCACTGAAGTTAGATTTTTAAATCAAATCTGAGGGCTTTCACACTTCTAATGGCAACAAGTGTACATCAGCATTGATTAAAATTCAAGCAGTGAAACAACATAGTGAGCGTCACTCACATGAAGGCATACATGAAATGTTAAGCTTTAAAAGTTTAGAAATGAGCCTTAGGAGCAGTCACCACCTCACTGAATTCATCATGCTGTGGATTTTGTGGTTGACTGTTTGGTTTTGCATTTCTAACTGTTTCCAAAATTGACCACTACAGACTTAAAGGGTAGAGTGTGTCTTGTTTCATTACTGAGTAAAATTAGAGAAGTTTGAGCAAGATGCCTATTGATTTTTCACTAATTTCAAGGATGCATATGGTGCTATACAAGTTGCTAAACTTAAATAATTAATTTTCATGAGCTGACATAAGAAAGAATACTAAGGTAAGATAGAATGGTGACAAAGTCTTCAACAGCATAAAAAAAAGTTATATAATGAAGGAAAAGGATTTTTCTAATGTTGTCATTTCAGATAATCAGAAATTTCCTGGTAAAGTTTACTTACAGTAGAAAGGCAGCTGTATATTTCAGCAGAAAAGTCTTGTGACAGCGTTAATCAGTGAAAGAGTTAAAGGACCAAGGGTAGTTTGCTTCCTAATAAACAAAGCTAATATCAGTTCATTACATCTCTCTAAAATGTAAAACCAAGCTGCTAACAGCTCCAGTAACTCAAATAATAACGAAAACCCAGTGAAGATGCTGTTGCACCATGAGCCGACACCAAAGTGCAATGTGATCTACTAGGGCAAAAACAGCAGGAGTTCTCTGAAAGTGATAAAATCAATGGTGTTATAATAATCTAAAAGCTTTGAAGATTAAGGTTACTGCAGAGTGGATAATGTTGAAATGAGATGCATGTGCTAAACAATAAGCGGAAGAATGTCCCAAAATGCAGTGCTTTACTTACAAAATGCTTAGGTTCACATTCACATGACATTAAAACTAAAGAAGTTATGAAAATGCCATTGCCGATCATGGTGAATGCCTAGGGAGACTTCAGGAAAGAAGGTTCGTCAAAAAAATAATTCTGGAGATTAATGAATTAGGATCTTAAATGTAACTTTAAAATATTTTATATTCAGTAAGACGCAGTGAAACTAATTTGGAAATACTTTGTTTTAAAAAGTAGCCAGTGTTAAGAGAATAATTTGTCATAGGAAGATCACCTGCAAAGTACCAGAAAAACATATGAACAGAAACTGTAGAAAATAAAAAATTACATTAATTTAGTCTTTGGAAAAAAATTAAAAAGCACTTAGGAAGTGGAGGTTGGGGAGGGCAAGGCTGGATGTTTAAATTGTTTTTAGTTTCATCCCTAATAATCTCGAACAGTCTTTCATCAAGATGTCTTAGCATCTCTCAATGATAGAACGTAGCTAGTCTAAATTTGAACATTTATGCTTATATTACTATTCTCACGTTACTAACAAGTAATGAAAATATAAAACAAGTGCCAACTGTGTACTAGCAGAAATACTGGTTCTCCATATTAATATAGATTAAAATGAGACTGTACATATGTATAATATTTCAGCAACAGATAATGGTCCTTTGATGTAGTTTATTTTGATGTGTAGGAAAGTCAGACACTTCATCTGTGCTGCAGTACTAAAGCTAGTGTTGGCACAAAGCCTGGGAGGCCAGAGCTGATCCTGGGATTCAGGTCTTCAGCACTGGGTCACTGTTAAATGTCTTTCTGTCTCCTTGTACGCAGCCTACTTAATCATTCTTTCTCCTTCCTTTATGAAAATTCATCTAGGGTGCAACAACCCTTGTTAAATATCTTTTGAAATCTAAGCCCTGCCTTTGTCCCTACATGCTAACAGCAAAGCGTGAGTACATGAGATGTTAGAGACTTTATGGGGCAATAAAATCTGTTACTTGTAACAACACCTGAGTTCACACTAATATCATGTGGAAACTCTGCCAAAAAGAGACTGCCATGTTGTATACCCAGAAACTAGAAGGAAAGATGGGGAAAGGGATTGCTTTTCTTTCTTTGTAAAAGCAAGTGCTTCATTCAGGAAATCATGATTTAGAAGTCTCAGAAGCACAGCTTCTTGAGAGAGGCCTAGCTAAGACCAGGAGAGTAGCTGCAGACAAGGCAAAATGAGAAGTTGATTGCACTGGTGCAATTTTTCACCATGACTCGGAAAGATCACTTGTGGTCACAGTAAAGAAATTCTGAAATTGCAGTACTGAATGCTGTACTAAGCTGTTACCTATGCCCCACTGGCTTCTGGACATTGTAAACACTTTCATTATTAAATTTTTCAAGTTTCACAATCATTGTCTTTGCAGAAGTACCTCATCTGACACTTTTGGACAGTTTGGTGGGAGTGACATGATTTCTGTGCCCTTCCAGAGCTTGTTTGGTTTTGTTTACATACAGTATTAGAAAACATTGGAATTACATTGGGAAATACAGATTCTGCTCCAAATTAACATCCTAATTATACTCTCTGCTCTGGTACTGTTTAGGTACTAAACAGTCTTGTTTAGTACCTAATGTTTAGACACCTATACAGAAGTGCAGAATGGCTGAGGTTGGAAGGGACATTTGGAGGTCATCTGGTCTAATCCCCTTCCTCGAGCCACACACAGCAGCTTGTCTGTGACTATATCCAGGGGGCTTTCGAATATCTCCAAAGATGGAGACTCCACAGCTTCCAAGGGCAGTCTATCCCAGTGTTCAGTCACCTTCACAGTAAAAAAATCTTCCCTGGTGTTCAAAGGGAACCTCCTGTGTTTTCAGTTTATGCCCATTGCCTCTGGTCCTGTCACTGGGCATCACTGAAAAGAACCTGGCTCTGTCTTCTTTGCATCCTCCCTTCAGACCCTTTAGAATAGGATCATAAAATTGTTTAGCTTGGAAAAGATCTTTAAGATCATTGAGTCTAACCATTAAGCTAGCACTGCTGTGTTCATCACTAAACCATGTCACTAGGTGTCACATCTACACGTCTTTTGGTCGAGACTCAACTACTTGCCTGGGCAGCCTGTTCCAATGCTTGACAATGCTTTTAGTGAAGAAATATTTTCTAATAGCCAATCTAAACCTCGCCTGGTGCAACATTTCCGCTTGTCCTATCACTCGCCACTAGGGAGAGCAGACCAACCCGCGCCTCGCTACAACCTGCTTTCAGGCAGGTGTAGAGAGCGATAAGGTCTCCTTTTCTTCAGGCTAAACAACCCCAGTTCCCTCAGCCACTCCTCATCAGACTTGTACTTGAGACCCTTCACCAGCTTTGTTGCCCTTCTCTGGACACGCTCTAGCACCTCAGTGTCTTTGTTGTAGTGAAGGGCCCAAAACTGAACATAGGATTTGAGGTGTGGCCTCACCAGTGCAAAGTACAGGGGGACGATCACTTCCCTGGTCCTGCTGGCCACCCTTTCTGATACATTATTGTGATAGCTTTCAGAGCTGACTGAAAGGAGAAGGTTTGATCTAACCTAACAGAAATTGGAGGAGAATCTCTCACTGATTTCACTGGCAGCAAGACTGTGTCTTAAGATTTTCACCAGGGGCATTTTCAAATCCAAATGATTGAAGAATCTGGACAACAGCTGCTGTGTTGCACAGTCTGGAGCATGGTTCACTAAGTAGGGCTACTAGGTGAGAAGAAGGAAGGTTGCAGTATTTTTCACCTTCCAAATAGATGTAGTGGTAATTGTCATACACGGTTTGAATTTGAAATGATCTTTGTCATCATGCCTAGTTTCCTGATTTAAATATATTGTGCATGTTTCCTTAGTTTTACATTTTCTGTAGATCTTTTTAATTGTGACATGCAGTAGCTGAAGAAATCCCCACACACTAAGTATAGAAATTCTGATGAGAAACAGTTCTACCCTAAATTTGCAATGGTAATTTGAACTTTTGCCCATTTTCATTAGTAGTTTTGGTCCTTTTCCCCCTATCTTTTATAGGTTTGTTGAGATAACCTCTTTCTTTTAAGGCTTGCTGTAAGCTAGTGCTTCGTACTCTTTCTTACATCATTGACTAGTCCTTCAGAGTATTCCTTTTTGGTTCTTCTGTTTCCTTCTCTGTACTAGTGTTCCTTAGAGTGATACTCTTTACCACCTACAGTACCATAACACACTGTTATGGTGATGTCTGTCGTGATGAGTTTTGCCCATGTGTAGCTGTGATGATGCTAAAATAACACTCCCACTTGTAGCACTCTCCTCCCAGCCTTTCTATCTCTGTCCACAGTTGCCTCCCGTACCTCCTAGCTAATACAAACATGAAAAAAATGCCTTCACAATCTTTGTCACAGTGAAGCTCCAAACCATACTCCGTCTGCTACTATTAAATATTTATTGACTATGTTGCTCAGAGGTTTCCTGTTAGTTTTGACTTTGTGGGTTTTTTTTTAATGGACACATGCAGTGGGGCAGTATGTGGTGGGATATCATGCAGTATTGTTTGTTTTGAAAGTGCAATAATGTGCTTCGTGCTTGTAGGACATTGCTTATTACCAAGCATTATCTGCTGAACAGTTGCAGACAGAAGCTGCTAAAATTCAACCCAGCACGTCAGCCACCCAGGAGTTTTATGAACCAGGCCTAGAATCAGCTGCTAGTGCCAAATTGGATGATTTGCAGCGTTCTTGGGAAACATTGAAAAATGTGGTAAGTCTTCATGTGGAGGGTTCAAAATAATCTGCTAGCCTGTAAGGAATAAAATGCAATGAAGTGGTTCTGCTAATGTTCTTCTCTGCAATTCTTGGGGTTTAGGTGGTAACAAGAATTGTTTGTTGTACTATTATATTATCTTTGTTCTTTGTTTGAAAGCTTGTGCAGGATTGACGTCCATTAAGCAAAAAATGAAAGTAATTAAAGTTGATGGTTGCTTTCAGAAATATTAGCTATTGTCAGACTATATTCCATAACCTAACTGGGAAATCCACTCTTGCTGGATGGGTTGGTAAAAAAGGCCCAAGAATCCAGTTACTCCTAATACTGAGTCAAGTTAACACGTTTTATCATAGTAGTGCAGCATAATCGTTCATTGATGTATGCAAACGGTCAAAATTTTGTTCACATCCTATAAATTTTAGTTCTTTGCAGATGCACAGGAGTTATTATGGGGTATTAAGAACTATGCATTGAGCAAATAGCGCGCATCCACATTTTGAGTGTGTAAAATCTAAAACAAGGCAGAAGATATACCTAGGCTTTCCCTGCTTATTGAAGTCCATTCTTTTCAGTCACAGAATCTAGAATTTGATTGATGATATTTAATCAGATTAATATTTTTCATATGGGTGGTTTGCTTTATAATTGATAATTTTGAGAAATTGTTGCAAGTTTTTGTTTTTAGTCCTGTAAGCATAGGGATGTATGGTGCAGAAGAAAGTGCAATTCCTGTATCGGAAGTCAGAATTTACGCCTTCCATTCCTCTTCAGATCAGTGAAAAGCAGCGCACCCTCTATGAAGCTCTTGAGCGGCAACAGAAGTATCAGGACACACTCCAGTCTATATCCACAAAAATGGAGACCATAGAGATCAAACTAAATGAGAGTCTGGAACCAGCCAAAAGCCCAGAGAGCCAGATGGCTGAACATCAGGTAAAAACTTACCTGTGAGAAATAGAGGGAGAGCATGCATTGTTTGTATATCTTTAGTTCCCTTTTCTTATGTAGTAGTGTGCTTCATGGTTGTATATCTCAAAAAAACATGCATTTGTTTATGAACCTTCTCTGTTAACTGTGTAGCTTGCCTTTCTGACTTCCTGCTGTTCTGAACATCGTGTAATGTGGAGCCTTTTAAAAAAGTAGAATAGATTATAAGAGTTCATCCAGTCAAAATTTTCAATCTTTTTGATAAAGATTGTGTTCAGTGACACCTACACATTCTGTTCTTCAGCATCAATGCAACTACCTTGGGTCAGACTATTTATAATGGTTCCAGATTCATCGTAACAAATACTGATGCGTTGTAAATTGATCTAAATACAATTTTTGCCCTGTTAAACAAAACAAACAAATAAAGCACACAAAAAATTCCTTCCTGAGGGAAGTCTTGAGAAATGATGCTCTGAATAGTAAGAGTATATTTTGTCAAGTAACCAATCGATCATATGTGCAAGTTGTAATCATCTAAGCCTTGTATTTGATAGCTTGAAACTATCTGGTGGGTTCAGTTCTCATTTTAGTAGGAACTCCGTGACCTGAAAAGGATAACGTTTGGCTTTTGTAGCACTATGTGATGTCCTGGGCGTGCAGTGTCTGTATACTAGCAGACAGGAAAGTAAAGTATCTGCTCTAAAGTATTGATTATGCAGCATCTTTTGGTTGTTTCATCTTGGAAACTGATTTATAGGATAGGAATGATAGTAGGAACTTCTTTTATGCCATGGAGTTAACCTCTGGATGTTCACATATATTGCTGGATTTTCTTTGACCACTTAGTAAGTATCATGCTAGAAGCTAACTCATGACCCTGTTTCTCTCTCAGAAACACACACTTAATTATCTTCACTACTGGAATCTACTAGAATGCCCTGCAGAAAATTTATTGGAACACTAAACATGTATAATATTTCCAAAATAATTCCTTCTTGTGATACATTTAAAATCCATATTTCAGTTATCAGATGCATGATCCTAGCTTAAGCATCTAAAAGCAGGACTTAGTCCTTCTGAATTCTGACTCTACGAAACCAACAGTGATGTATTGCCCTACTCTGTGTTCCTCATGCTCCCTTGGCGCAGTAATTTTGAATTTTATATTAGTCCCATTTGTCCTGAGATACTTCCTTTCACTGATAAATGAAGCAAATATCTTCTCTGCTCTCATTTCTAAATAGGCATTGATGGATGAGATTTTAATGTTGCAAGAAGAAATCACTGAGCTTCAGACATCTTTAGCCCAGGAGCTGGTGTCAGAACCACTGGATGCAGAAGCTGCTGATCAGCTGGCTTTGCAGTCCACTCTCACAGTCTTGGCAGAAAGAATGGCCACGATTAGAATGAAGGCATCAGGAAAACGACAGCTATTAGAGGTATGAGAAAAAACCTCTGGGATTAGGTCTTTTGGATCACGTTCCAGATCTTGAGAGCTACTTTTGGCAGACCTGTGCTTTCACCAAAGTACTTTGTCCCCATTGAAAGCTGATAATTAAAAAAGTCATCTTCCGTTCTGCTCATTTTTCACTATTTGTTTAAGTAATAAATTGACATTCTTTTTTAGCAAGTTCCTCATCTTAATGCTAGCTGATGAGTAACCAGAAGGAACTTTGAAACACTCTGCTGGACTCATATTTTTTATATATACGTAAAATATTATTTTTATATCCACTTTGACATTTTCTCGGTAGGTCATGTTATCTACAGTAAACTTTTGAGGAGTCACCTGTCCAAACTGGGAGACGAGAGAAGGGCGAAAGCTTAAAACAAGAAATACATCTTCCAAAATGTTGTGTTGTTGTCTATGCTCACCCTTCCCAGTGATTTGCATGCAAACTTCTGTCATGGAAGACGAATCCCTTTATTTCTTTGTCTACCAGGTTTACCAAGAATCCTTTAGTACTAAGGTGATTTAAAAAAAGTCCTTTACGTATACAATTGTCACTGTATATATTATATAGGTGAGAACGTGCAGTCACACTAAAATTGAATACAGTTTAGCTGCTTTGCACACTGCAGGGCAGCTTTACTGCTGCACTGCTAAGAACCACAGCAGTGAGTTAAAAAACAAGCAACTGCTACCTTCATGATTTCCAGCATCAATTTATTCTGAGAGTCTTAGAGGGAACTGGCTCTGTGGATCTAACAGGGTTACAAGGGAGTCCCTAGGTGCATCTGCTGCATTAATTCTATGCAGTTAGCTGAGACAGTGAACACTGTTATTCTTAAAAAAACTGCACTAGGTTTTGCCTCCTCAGAAGAAAAATGGCTTTTATGTAAAAGTAAGGGACTGGAAGTAAAATAGGGATCTTGCTGCTATAACTTGCACCTCATATGGAATCTTACAAACTTCTTGATAGTACATAGAGGGAGATGCTAACTCAAGGTAAAGCATGAATCAAATATACTACTTTTAAGTATGGTTAATATTCTGACAGTTACTTTAATCCAATAGCACAAGTGTCGCACAGTAACCTTGACTAAGATGTATGTTATGTAGATACTATTCAGTAATTTAATCTGTGAGTTTTATAGCTCTGATTTCATAGATAAAATCTTCCAGAACACTGCAGGGATGTAAATGTAGAAATACAGATAGAACGTGAAATGAAAATATTTTGCTGTTAAGGGTGTGGATTGATAATATTGTTCTTTCTGTGGACCTGATTTAAATAACTAGAGCTTGCAAACTCTTCAGCTCTGGATTATTTGAGACACTTAACAACTGTCATTATTCTTTAAATTACTCTAACATTTTCCCATTAAGCATTCAGAAAAGCTATGCAACCGTGTCCCTGTATGAGGGTTTTGCCCTGCTCTTACAGGTTAGATTTCCTTACAGAAGTGTGGTAGTTTGACCCTGGCCAAGAGCCAAACACTTGGCCTCACTCCCCTCTCCCATGGAATGGGGAAAAATTAGAAGGCGTGCAAAAACACTCGTGGATCACGATAATGACAGCTTAATAGGGTAAGGAAAAGCTGTGCATGCAAGCAAAGGAAAATGAGAAACTTATTCACTACTTCCCTGTGAGCAGGCAGACATTTAGCCACTTTCCTGGAAAGCTGGGTCTCAGCACATATAACAGTTGCTTGGGGAAGGCCCTCCCCTCCCTCCTCCCCCTCCACTTTCCCTGAGCTTTTATTGCTGAGCGTGATCTCATATGGTATGGACTATCCCTTCTGGTCAGCTCAGGTCAACTGTCCTAGCAATGCCCTCTTCCAATCTTTCACCCACCCTGCCCTACTGGCCTTTGTGAGGGGGAAGTTGGAAAGAAAGCCTTAATGCTGTGCAAGCACTGCTCAGCAGTAGCCAAAACGTTGCAATGTTATCAGCACAGTTTTAGTCACAGTTGCAAAGCACAGCAACATTCAGGCTGCCATGAAGCTAACTCTATTCCAGCCAGATCCTGTACAATCTTCTCCCCTTGTTCTGTACCATTTTCGGCATGCTTAGGTTCTACATTATCTGGTAGATCCAAGTATTCTCTATCTGTTTCTTATTCCTGAAATCCCCTGTACTGTCTTCAGGCCTCTGTATCTCTCCTGTACTGGGGACCCCAGAAGTGGACACAATAGTCCAGGTGTGGACTCACCAGTGTTAAGCAGAGGGGAAGGATCACTTCCCTCAACCTGCTGATGACACTCCTCCTGATGCAGCCCAGGATACCATTAGTGTTCTTTGTCGTAAGGGCCCTTTGCTGGCTCGTGTTCAACTTGGTGTCCAGCAAGAGCCACAGGACCTTTTCTGCTATGCTGCTTTCCAGCTGGTTGGCCTCCAGCATATATTGGTGCCTGGGGTTGTTCCTCCCCAGGTGCAGGAGTTTGCATTTCCCTTTGTTCAATTTCATGAGGTTCCTGTCAGCCCATTTCTTCAGTCTATCAGGGTCTATCTGGATGGCAGCACAACCCACTGGTGTATCAGCCACTCCTTTGGCTTTGTGGCATCAGTAAACTTTCTGAGACTCATTACTGGCCTGTCGGTAGACTTTGTGCCACTAATCACCACCCTCTGGGCCCAGCTGTTCAGCCATTTTGCAGATTCTTATGGGACTATTAAAGGCCAACAAGTCTTACTGCTCACTCTGTCTGTCCAATGGATGGGCCAACCGACAGATGCAGCCAAGGAGTCCGTGTTGCTGCAGCAGTCACTGGAGCTTAATGTCCTTCCACACCCCATGGCAAAGGGATCCTCTACGAGGCCAGACAAGGTAGACAGCTAAAAGCAGTGTTCTCTTTATCTGTGGTGGCTACACCAAGGGCCCACCAGTACTGTGCTGGATTCTTCAACTACCCCTCTCATGCCTCTCTTGAGGGAAAACGAGGCTATCTAAGAACTTGCTGCTGCCAGAAAGAGGCAAAGCAGCTCTCCTTTCCCCGCAGCCCACTCCCAGCTCTGTGGCCCCATGCATCTTGTAAGCATGTAAGCAAACAGTGCTATGCTAGTTGAGCAAACTGAATCAGCATGGTAGGAAGCCCAAAGGAGAGCAGCAGCAAGAGGAGATGGGAAAGACCTCACCTTTAGAGGGCTGTAATAGCAGAGATGTACTGCAGGAAGTAGAAATAGAGTCACTGAACTGAAACAGAATTTTAGTCACCAGAAGACCATGCTCCTCGATTGAAAGTAAAATACTGTACAGAGATTGTGAGAGACAGAGAAGAAACAATTTTTAAAAGTGACTGTTGTGGCGCATCTGGTTTTAAAAGTAAAATGTAATTTATACCTCTAGGAAAAACTGAACGAGCAGCTGGAAGAACAGCGGCAAGAGCAGGCTCTTCAAAGGTACCGCTGTGAAGCTGATGAGCTTGACAACTGGCTACTCAATACCCGTGCAACGCTGGATACCGCTCTAGTTTCCACTGAGGAGCCTATGGACATGGAGGCACAGTTGGTAGACTGTCAGGTAAAATCATCAGTCCTGTAATGTTTAGATGAACGCGATGGACATAGCTTTTTCTGAATGAAGGCAAATATAGAGCATTAATGTTAAGACTGTTATTGAAAGGGATGAGCCAGCGTATTAGTGGAGAAAAAGTTTCTGATCTTGTTAGCACCTCATATACACTCAATAGCTTCATCAGTGATTTGTGAAATAAAATATAGCCTGTTACTCATTTTTTACTAAAAGTTGCAAGCAGTGCTTTAGAAAGCCTATGTAAATATAGCAGTGGGAAAAAAATACATCCTGACTGCAAGAACATACAAAGCTTTACGACTTCTGGAGGACATTTTGTTTTAGTTTAAAGGCCTTGTATTCATTTCACTTAGTCCACTCAAGCAAGAGTTGTTGAACAGGTCCTTTGATAGGTATGAAACACCTGCAGTGTACTTTCCTACTCCTCCAGCTGAAGAACACGCTCACAGTAGCAGTGGTGACTGGGGCAGTGTTGTGTTTTCTTCAGGAGTAATCTGTACCTACATTCAAAAGTCAAGTATAATCATCAGTAGTTACTATTTTTATGAATTTAACATTAATCACCAGAATACCAAAACAACTGTGGAAAATCATTTTGCTGCAATAGGAACAATTTCATATACTTCTCTGTTAACAAGACTTGGATCAGTCATAACATCTAGATTCTCAAATTAATAAGTGTTTTCAATTTTTAAATGAGGATTTAGAAATGTAGGATCATAGCAATGAAAATTATGAGACGGGCAAGGAATAGATGGGTAAAAGGTCCCTTTTGGTATTGAAGATCTCAACTATTTTAGGATAAATGGAAGTTAAATTTCATATAAATCCTATGAATTAAACATCTAGTTAAAGTTCCACCAATACTGCTGCATTATTGGAGTTTTCAGTGCTCAGTCTGAAATGATCACGCATCCTTGGAACCTGTTTGCTGCATATAGATAAACCCTGGAAGCTTAAACAAAGCAGTAATTTTTTTTTGTAAGAAACTCAAAATTTAAAGGAACAATAACTTTGTGGAAAAGTTAATACTGCTGTTCTTTTGGTGGTTCTTAAAATCTCAGCCCATCAAGTTTTGTGTAAAATCCTATATGTTTTTACACTTTTGAGAAACTCTGCCCATCTTATCCTGCATGTATTCCTTCAGGAGAAATATTTATAAGTTTATATGTGACAGTTGATATGAAAACAAAAACATCTGATGTCAGACTAGGTTTTTGAGCAAGATTTGTATGAGCTTTGAGTTTGGAAGTTTGAAACATGCTCTGTGTCTGTAATACATAAATGGTTAATGGAATGTCAGGAAAGTAGCTTTTGAGAATAAACATGCCAGAGATTTGTCACTTTAAGTCTCTCTTTAGACTAAAGAGGATTATACAGAAATCCTTAAGTCCATCATGGACCAATCAGAAAGAGCAAATAGTGAGAAGACAAGCTTATCAACGCAGCCAGAGCAACACATAGCAGGAGGTAGGAAACATTTCACTAAACGTACATGGAAGAAGAGGAAAGAAGTAACTCTAGCTGAGTGCTCTATTTCTTGTCAGTATGGATGCCAGTCTAGCATCTTAGCCACGCTTACCTTTTATGTGCAAATAAAGAGCATCTCCTCTAAGACAAATCCTTTGTTTCAAATAACTTTTTGATTTCCTATTTTGAAAAAGGTTGCAGACAGAAATGGCAAATGCAAACATTTGCAAGCATATTCCTAAGGACTCTGAAAGAGACTGGAAGGCAAAGCAATGGTATCTGACTTGCCCTTAGCTTGGCAACGGGCAAGGTAGGCCACAGGTCGTCTTGCCAGGAAGCGTCACAGATGCTGGAAAATGTATGAATTTGGTTCTTTGTTTTTGCTGCTGCAGAACATGCTGGTTGAAATAGAGCAGAAGGTGGTAGCCTTGTCAGAGTTGTCTGTGCACAACGAGAACTTGCTTATGGAGGGGAAGGCTCACACCAAGGACGAGGCAGAGCAGCTGGCTTTGAAGCTCAGGACGCTGAAGGGCAGCCTTCTGGAGCTGCAGAGAGTGCTCCACGACAAACAGATCAACATTCGGGTAAGTGGCTCTTTCCAGTCGGCTTCACGGTGAGCAGGAGGTTGGGGTATTTCATAGCAGTTCTATGCAACTGGGAAAAGGGATAAAAGCATTTTACTAATTTTGATTTGAGCTATTGATCTTTACTTAGTAGATAGAACTAAATTCCGAAATAAAGAACAGGCTAGCAATCTTTAGCTTATCATATTCAAGTTACCAGCACCACTTCATGGTGAAACTATCACAACCTCACTATCTTCACTGAAAGGAAAATAATAAAGCAGATGATTTGTTAGCTTGGTCTGGATGTACTCTGTTCTTTTTCCCAGTCCCCTTAGTTTGCATGTGCTCTGGGGAAGGATCCCTCTCCCAACAAAAGAACAATCGTAGATAAATACTTTCCTCCATATAGTGTGCACAGTGAAGCAAACAGATAATGTCAGGATAATGAAACATTTTTAAATATGGCTAATACTTAGTGGTGTCATTACACCACACAAAATATTATATAAAGAAAGATACTTTCACCCTCAGTCTTGTCTGAGGTTTCTATTCCTCGCAGCATTGATCTGCTTATTGCCACTAGCTCATTTTATTTAACAGTTGGTTTTGGTTGTTCTTTAGGTTAAACTAGCATGTGGAGAACCGAATACATACAAGAAACCCAACAATGTAATGTCACTGACTGGTTTTGAATTTGCTTGCCCTGCTGTGACTCCTTTCCCCCCCTTTTCTTTTACTTCTTTTCTGGGCTTTGCTGTGCAAATTAAACATGATAAGCTTCAAAGATTTCTAGCTTGTAATGCAGATTAAAGTCTACTGAGAGGTTAGCTTGAAAAGTCACTTGACATTCTAAGAACTATTTTTAGTGCGAAGCAACTGGATAACTATAAAACTTAACATAGCTTCATAAAAAAACCCCAACAAATCAACACAAAAAGAAAGGAAGGAAAAAACCCAGGTATTTATTCCTATTGCCTGTAAGATGAAGTAACTTTAATGTTAACCTTGAATATTAAGCCCAGTGATTAGGCAGGTGAAAAGAATTATCAACAGCATGTAGACATATACTATATTCTGATACATTACTTGTAAAGTGAAAAAGCATCACAGACTTTTTTGCTTCGTTTTAGAACACAAATGATGCATTTTAAAATGTGCTGCATTTTAAAATATAATGGTGTGATCTAGTTTACTTAAACTTATAAAACTGATTTTTGGATGCTTTTCTAATGTAAAAAAACAACTTAATGTAAAAAAAGCAACTTAAGTCCCTTTTGGGACTTACGGAATGTGGAAGGGAATAGATACAGGCAGTATAATGTCTTGAAATTTTCACTGAACACTTTTTTTTCAAATGAGAAATTCTATAATGTCTATTTCCAAACAATCAGGCATAAAGTATTTCTTATGGACTGAGACTCAGAGCATCAGCTCCCTAAAAACACACTAATTCTCATCCACTGTCATTACTGACCCTGAGAAATATTATATGCTAACAGCACTGTTGCTCATGCATGTAAGAAACTCAGATTTACACGTCTCTAGATGTAGTGATAACATTGTAATTGCCCAGAGGCATAAACTAGGTTGCACCCAGAAAAAGAAGGATCCTCGCAGGTTACACTGTGAGACCAAGAGCATTGTAAAGATGAAGCTATATTTTCCTTAAAGCAATATTTCAGCCTATCTGTTATTCCCGTGGCACAAGGCTTTTTTATTTGGTTGGATTTTGGTTGTTTGGGGTTTTTTATGAGCTAGTGTGAGATTCTGTCTCTTCCTTGCAGCAATTTTAGTTTTCCTTCATATTTTAATTAATTAATGTCACTAATGATATGGAAAAAAAGTAATTTGGAGACCAACTCCTTTAATGATAAAATAAAGCACTGAAACTAATCAGAAACATGCTCAGTCAGGAGAGTTCCAGACTGCACTGGTGCCAAATGTAGCATTTTTCAAGCATTTTGAAAGATATACAAAACAATGCTTTATTATAGGTATTTACTAAATTCTGTGAGATAGCAGCAATAAAAGTAGACTCCTTATAAAACAAAGAAGTACAAAGAATTCTGCAGTAAAAAGGAGCATATAGTATTTCCTTGTTACAAAATGTGTTTTTGTGAGGGACCACTTCGTTTCCACGAGACCAATACGCCTGCTATAAGTATATACAATTCTAAAGTCTTTTGAAAGATCAATTTCATCACCATTTTCTTCAGGGATTTTCCAACTCTTTCTGTCCTAGTGTGAATAGTCCCCAAGAATGATAGCTTCAAGCATTTATTTCTCTGTCTATTTAAAGGAAATGTAATACAGTTCCTTCAGACAGAATTCAAATGAAAATGCAAGTGCATTTTTTCAAAATTACATATCCTGTGATTTGAGAATGATAAAATCTGGTTCACAGATAATTTGGGTCTAAAAAGTATGCACAACAGTGTATTTGCAGAACCTTATCACATCCACAAATACCACAATCCCTTTTATACTCTGCTATTGCGGGACCTTTGGGACTGCTATTTATTTGTCGTAGTGTAACTCCAAAATTCTAGCTTTGTAACCCTCTTCCCAGAGAAAAGGAGACACGAAATTAAACGCCCTACCCAAATACGGTGAAGAACTAAATACTGTTGTCTAAAAGAGATGAACAACTGCTGTCCTTAGAATATATAAAATGAAGCAGGTTTTTTTTTTTTTACAATTTGTACAAAGATTGTCTCTTTTTCTCTTTTTTTAATAGAAAAATAAAAAATTCAGGCCCTCTTTATTCTTTACATGTTTTATTTGCCTATCTGATATCCTTTAGTGACATTGTTCACACTCCAACCGCGTCAGCTTGTTCCTCCAAAGCAAAGTATCACAGTTCACCTGCAAACGGAATCCTTAGTGAAACAGAGCTGTTTCAGAGAGCTAAGGGCTAATGGATCTTTCCATCTCTAGATACGTGCTTGCTTGTTTTGCTCCTCTTACAGTTGATACCCTCTAACACTTATACGCCCTTTCAACTCCAGTATACTCATCATCCCCCAAAACTGAAGTACTAAACCTAATTTCTACTATTTGACAGAACTCTGATGTTTCAGTGCCTGGTGCCAGGGACACTGATGGCAGAGGTCCATCCCAATTGTTAATATAAAGAGCACCAGGAGAGGCAAGAGGGCTTTTCTCAGCCAACTCCAACCTTGCTGTCCTTGCCTGGGACAAAGGCTCTCCATAAAGTGGAGCATGTTTTTGTTTTGGAGAGCCTCCTGTAATGTCTGAATCATTTGGTGCTTTTACTGAATTATGGGCAAAGTATGAATCCTACAAAAATGAGATATATAGACGAAGTGGGAGGGAATTAAGCCCCAGCTTTAGCGCTTGAAGTTTTAAACAAAACAAACAAACAAACAAAAGGTGCAAGCTCTACAGTCACCATATGCCTGTAAGCAATAAGTAATATTAAATAAATCCAGAGAGGTATGTTAATCTAAGTAGCCAGACCTACAAGCCTATCTTTGACATTAGGCACAGTGTGGTAGAATCCATACATTTGAATACATTGTCTGCCAAAATATTTTAAATTTACAACCAACATGGATTTCAGAAGTCAAGAAGGTAATAGAGCAGTTTTATGAACTACTAAGGCTTTTGCTCTTTTTTGCTTCACTTGTGCAGAAAGCCTGTCTAATCACTCATGTTGGAAGAACATAGTGATAGAAGTGTGACACGAAGGAACTGTTGGTTTTGCTTTTCTACTGTAACATCCTCTGGTTTGGTCTCTCTTGTTTTCTTTACTGTTCATATCATATAATCTGTTCTTAACTGACTGTGTTTCTGCCAACTGCAGTTGGAGTTATGTACTTAATGATAAATAAATTTTGACCAGTATGACAACCTGCATTACCTCGTTTTTACTGAGACAAAAAAATTGGTTTTAATAAGACTAAAAACCTGACAGAAACAACCCAATCATTCCTTGCATTGCCAGTTAAAGCTCTACCCTCTATTACAGATAAATACTATTTCTTCAAAGAAGCAGAGCAGTCTTCAGAAACACATCAGTCCATGGTCTTTAATCTCTGCTCAAAATGCAGTGGTACATGCTTATTTCTGCATTTTTAATGATGCTTTCTTGCTAGTAACCAATGACCAATAGAAGTCAGGAATCTAAAGTCTTTGCTCACTTCAGAATTCATGTCAGACAGCAGCTTAAGAGGTGGAAGGGGACACTACATGTAGTTTTGAGTTGATGAGCTGGACCTGCTCTCTCTAGCAATATAAAAGATTCTGTGAAATCTTTATTTCTTTCTCTTAAAGCAGGGATCATTACAAGAAAAGGAGGAGAGCGATCTGGACTTTGTTTCCTCACAAAGCCCCAGTGTGCAAGAATGGCTGGCACAAGCAAGAACCACTCGCTCAGAGCAGCAGCAGAGCACCCTGCAGCAACAGAAAGTTGGTGTTTGCATTTCTTTTACTCCTGTCTTTAGATTGTGCTTAACACTGTAGCTGGGGTGTTCTTGTTATGCTGAAATCTTCACTTCGACACTGTTTCTTACTCATTTTGTAATGATGCATCGGAGGGCACTATTTTTTATCTATGACAGCCAGGCAGACCAGACTTCCTAGGTGACTGTGGTCAACTTACCTAATTGCTCTGTACTTCCATTGTCCATTAGTAGAATTAAATTGAATCAACTCTCAAAGTTACCTAAGGAGATGGTATTTGCTCAAAATAGTAATCGAATTGTCTTTATAGAAGGAAAAATGCACACATTATAAGGTATATTGTGTTGGATGATATCCTTACTAGGTTAGGTTCCAGAAATTACACTGCTTTAGTCAATTAGTTCAAAACCCTAGTTTATGTACCAGTTTGTGTCCCTGGGTAGAGAATTTGCACTGCTTCTCGTGCTCAAGCAGGCCATATCAAAAATAGCTCAACTGTCCTTGCATGACAGTTACGCAACATAGACATATTCTTCCAAGGCAAAACCAGTCTGTTTGAAGTTTTGTTTTGTGTTTGTGACTTTCTATGATAGGAGCTGGAACAAGAGCTAGAAGAACAGAAGAATCTGCTTCGGTCAGTGGCATGTCGTGGAGAAGAAATCCTAACACAGCAAGGCACTCCAGAAGGCTTGTCTATAAGGTGTGCTTTCATGTGTTCTGTGAAGTAAATTTCTAGGACTGTGCTTTGTCATCCTTATGTTTACGTTACCTTTTGCGTTATATTCCTCTAATTTTTATCAGTTTTGTACAGCACCTAGGATACTGGAGTCCTGGTTTATAATTCAGTGGTCTGATAATATAGTTACACGAACTGTTTTGTGCTAATAGATCATCTTTAGCATTTAGAAATTTATTTTATTATCAAGCATCACGCTAAAATTACAAACTAAAAGGATCTATTAGACAAGCAGTGGATCAGTTGTAGTATAGGTTTGTTGTCCAGCCTTGCTGTGTGAATCATAGCTGATCTCTAAAACTGCCTTTGTAACCAGGGCTCCCCAGATGAGATAGCCATTGCCTATTTTTTCTCCTTCCTGCAGTTAGTTAAGATTTTTATTTTTGAAGCCTTGTGTATTTCAGATTTTATCTCTAGTTTATATTTTCTTGCATGTTTTCCCATTTGGGAGGGAAGTCGATGTATGAAAGCCTCAGCTCTGACTGGAAGAGACTTCTGCTCTAGAGAAGGCAGAAGAAAACTGCTGCCTACTGCTGATATGGACCTTCGGGTAGCAGATAGGACTTGGGAAGAGGAAAACAGGGTGAAGATTATTAGCTCAGTAATCAAGGAACAGTCAACCCTTCTGTTAAAACACTTCCTTGATTTATCTCAGTAGTAATGAGCACTCTTGTGGCTCCTCTAGCATGCTAGAACATGAAGGTAGTTCATGAGGCAGCAGAATGCATAGGGAATGTAAGTTCTTTTCCTCACTATTTGTGTTAATTCAGTGTGGTTTCTTATTATGATGCCAGAAAGTCCTTATCTCCCTCTGTCACATCATGATATACTATAGAAACAAACAAAAAAATCAAACAGAAAACACTGAGCTACATTCACTGTTTACCAAAGTTAAACTCATATGCTTGTAGAGCATTAAAATATCAGGATATGTCTGGGATTTTGAGAGAGGAGGTGAGAAAAGAGTCAGATAATTTTTTTTATTTCATGCTTTGAAGTAGAGCTTGTTTAGAGGTTATATTTCAATGCACTATATATTCAGTCTGCTTTCTTGCTGTTACAAACCAGCTTTTGTCTAACTATCTGGAAAAAAAAAACACAAGTGAAATGTAGAATTTCCTAGTTGAAAGAGGAAACACCTTATACAGTTATAACTTTTGTATTTGTTAAATCTTTATGCATATTCCCATTCAGTGTGAAGCCTGATACACTCTCTGAGGAATTAGGCTTGGAAGGTGAGAAGGCATCACCTGAAGAACAGATGAAGGTGAAATGGGAAAGCCTGAACCAGGAATTCAGTACCAAGCAGAGACTGCTCCAGAAAGCTTTGGAACAAGAACAGCTGGTAAGTATTTTCAGTTTCTCTTTACATTTTTTTGATGAAAGCAGTTGTCACAACATGAGGTACAGTGCATAGCAAATGCATTAAGATGATGTAGTTAATGCAAAGGATATGGAAGAATTTATATTTGTGATATCTTAAAAAACTTTAAATATTGGCACTAGCACTGCTTTTGTTCAAAGTGATTTGAACTGCACTACCACTCAGGTGCATAAACTAGAAAGGAAGAAAGGGCTCAGACAAAGTTTTGATCTACTTATCTATCCCAGGATAATTGTGTAACAAATCATCTCTCTGGAATTGACCAGTACTCTGGCAACTACTTAGAAGACAAGGTGGGATTTTTAGTTTGAATTTATTGGTTACATCCAATTCTTGATCGTAGAGGGTACGTGACAAAGAAGTAAGTGATCTCAGCCACAGAATTTTTACTGAAAGAAAGAGCTATTTATGAAAGAAACCAGGGAAAATCCAAGATCTGTCTTAACACACATCCTCCATTTTCTTGTTAATATACCCAGGCCCACTATTCTTTATACAACACTGTCTTAAAATCAGCTCCAACATTCTAATATCTTGTATTCATTCAATAGTAAGTAATTATATTTTTCTTTGGTAAAATCAAATCACTGCTAATTCTGGCCGCACGTATTTTTCTTGTGCTTCTAGTGTACCTCCTGTTGAGCAATCTTTTATTCAAGATACTGATAACACAGAACGGTAGTGGGAGGACCGTGAGCATTATTTGGTGATATCCTCAGTCAGCAGTACAACCTGTATAGCCAAACTTTGCGCCCTTTATATGGTAGAAGCATTCTAATTAGTACTTCTCTTTCAGCAGCTTTATACCAGACCAAACAGACTGATACCTGGAATGCCTATGTATAAGGAGGAAGGACAGGATGAAGATAAATCCTCAGTGTCACCAGTACTGGTTAAACTAAATCAGGCCTTTGAAGATGTGTCATCTGAGGTAACAGTTCGATTATCTTTCTACCTATTCTGCAGCAGAGCCACATTTACAATGAAAACTCCTCTTGCTCACACCTGGAAATCCAGACCTTTTCCCAAACAGTAGATGTTAGAAAGAGTATCTTGTACATCTACTCTGGACTTCTCTGGTTCCTTTTGCTCAGGCTGGACAGGTGGAGCGGAGCCTGCATCTTGAACAGAAGCTGTATGATGGTGTCTCAGCCACCTCCTTGTGGCTAGATGGTGTGGAAGAACAGGTCTTTGTTGCTACAGCTCTGTCACCAGAGGAGGAAACAGAAATATACCTCGGCAAGCAAGAGGTAAGGAGTCCATGCATTAGACTTCCTTTAAGTTGCCGATAAATATGTGGTTTATGTAGTGTTTAGGAAGAAGATATTAGAATCCTGGATAAGTGACATGTTGCTGCCATAGCGTCTATGTAATTGCACTATTCTGCTACTGGTAGAAGTAACTTTATGGACCGTGTAGAGAGCATTGCAGAAAGCAGCCCCTGACCCAAATTTTGCCTGGTCAGAAGAAAATTCAACATAGAGTCTTTCTTCTGTTTAACTTCTTTGCTAAGTATTAGCAAGCACGATATTATTGAAATTAAAACAAAGAGACAAAGAGGGGGGAATGTTCTGTGATATAGAAACAGCACAAATTCATCACCGTGCAAGGGAATAGAGGAGAGGGGGAAGGAAGAGGATGGAGATGAGAGACAGAGAGAGGGGCAATAGAACGAAGGATAGTGGTTGTAAACTAAAAGAGGGTAGATTCAGACCTAGATATAAGGAAGAAAAAGACTTTTTACAATGAGGGTGGTGAAACACTGGAACAGGTTGCCCAGAGATGTTACATAAGCCCAGTCCCTGGAAACATTCAAGGTGAAGTTGAACTGAGCACTGAGCAACCTCATCTAGTTGAAGATGTCCCTGCTCACTGCAGGGGAGTTGGACTAGATGACCCTTAAAGGTTCCTTCCAACCCGAAATGTTCTATGATTCTACATGATGTTTTTTCAGTAATTCTTTTCGTCAGGGCAGCCCAGGGTCTTTTTTCTATCAGAGATACTGTAGCTGTGTAGCTTTATCTAGTGTGTGTGTGTATATTGACAATGTAAAAAAAGTCACTGCAGCCCTGCAAAGTTGATAGTGGTGAAGACAATATACTTACCTGCTTTCCAGAATATCTGATTGGTGTTTTGTTTTGTTTTCTACAAAATCAGTCTCTTGCCAAAGAAATCAAAGACATAACAGAAGAAATGAATAAGAACAAGAATTTATTTGCTCAGCTATTTCCTGAGAATGGTGATAATAGGGATATTATAGAAGACACTTTGGATTGTCTCCTGAGAAGACTGACCTTACTGGAGTCAGTAGTAAGCCAGAGATGCCATCAGATGAAAGGACGGCTCCAGCAAATAGTGACTTTCAAGGTATGATGCCCATATGAAGGAATTAACAGGGGTACATGTCAAATGGGGATATGAAGGATGTGATTCCCAAAGCAATGAGAATTTTTGTTACAAAATCTAAAGAACAAGTTTGTTACAGGTTTTTACTGAAAAATCAGACTTCTTCATAGGCTGTGCAAAACTTGACATGCAAATAATTTTAAACTCTGTGCAATTCATAAACTCATGCAGTTATTGTAAAGTCATCACTTACTCCATAATTTCTCACACTGAGGGCATTACATAAAAGGAAGTTGTTGACTACTGTTCTCAAAGGAGATAAAGCAACTTTAGAGTTCCACTCTATACATTTTATAATTTCAAAAATGGTAGTAGTACACTGTTTATACTAGGTGAGGTAGGGTAGAAAATATCATACTGATTCCCACTTTTCTGACCATCTGTTGAGATGAATTCATGATTGTAGCTTGGCAAAATTGTTAAGTAACATTTATGCATCTGCTCTGATAAAGTACTCTTAAAGTTATAATGGGTAGCCTTGTAATATGTTGAAGATTATTTACTTTTGTTATATTTGCTTAAGTTTATAATGAAAAAAGCCTCCCTTGAAAATTAAAACCTATCTTGTTTATGAGCCTATGTAGTTGAATAAACTATATAAGAATAACATATTTTTTGTTAAGTAAAGCTAGTGATCCTTGCTAGTAAAATGTTCACAGGTTACATTTTGGGTAGGAGTTACTATAGATTTTGGATCATGTATACCCAGTTAACAGATTTTCAGCAATGTTAAATGTTTTGCATTGGCTAATTATGATGCTTTCAATTTTGAACAGATTTTATGCCTTAGTGCTGATGCTGTAATGCTTTAAACTTTTTAGAGCTTAAATATTTTTCAGTTGGCTCGTACTGTGATTGGCTATAATTTGTTGTTGTTGCCTCTTGCAGAATGATCTGAAGCTCCTGTTTACATCAGTGGCTGATAACAAATATTTAATTCTACAGAAATTAGGAGAGTCAGTTGAAAGACCAGAAACAGAACAAATGCAGGTATTACCAAATGTCTATTGTTTGGGGAGAGGGGAAGAAGTATAGTTTCTATTCAAAGTGTAAATGGAATCTAGATAAAAGTTGATTTTTGTGGGAATATGTATGTGTTCACATAAAGTATGTGAAAATGAATGCTTCCAGGAGTGTACTGTATGTTTATAAACTAAAAAACCAAAACCAAAAAAACCCCACCCCAACATAAAGTGTCTTTCTCATCTCCCCAGCTGACCTAGTTATGCATATACTGGACAGTATTTGAAAGAAAGAAAACTTCAGTGAACCAAAAAAAGTCTAAAGTTTGGCTAAATTGTTTGGCTGTTAGACTTTATTAAAAAACAAAGGCGCCTTCCTCTGCACCGATTTATAGTAATATCTTGACTGTTATTTTAGTTGAAGGCAATAATTGTGTTTTCTTTATCAGGAGTTGCCTAATGAATAATTAACTATTACTATGACAAATTATATCCTGTCTCCCTGTTTCTGTTTTGCCAATGAGAAAAGTGAAAAGGGCCACATTCTGCAGACGATTGTTGTTACCCAAGTGTTACTGATGCATGGTGACTGAGAGGAAGAGACTTACCCTTCAGTTAAACTGGAATACCAGACTTTATATACCTGATATCAAATTTTGAAGGAACATTAAGACTCCCATATGAATAAGAGAGCTGGAACTCCATGTCTTTTTTAATTGTCCTCCACAGTACAAAGATCGGCAAAAATTTGTCTCCTGTATGATTAAGTTAACTACCAAATAGGAAAACAATGTAATAATAAAAACAGCTGAATTAACTTGTTTCTAAATTAACTTGTTTCTGAACATCTACCTTGGCTGGTACAACATTCAAATTTAAAAGCACTGCTGTTCACGATGTGATTAGGAAAGTAGAAACAAGGCCCTTAGTCAGCCAGGTAACTTAACTGCATGAAGTGTGAGTTTAGTGACTGTATTGCACATATTCTACATTACTGAGAGTCAAGAGTTCTACTCACAGCTTAAGCATATTTGGATTGGCAGTTTCCAAGAAAGTGCCTTAACAAAGGATTTTAACTACAGGAGTCTGCCTTGTGCTTTTAACTTTGTTATAGCTTGTATGCATTACTTCAGCAGAGACTCCTAGTTTTGAAGACCTGGGAAAGCTTATGGCTTCCATGAAAAAAGTTATTATCACCTGCTTATACTTAAAAATACCTATTTCTGTTCCTAAATTGTAATTTTCCAAATGCAAAAGGGGATGTACAAGTCCTTTTCCTTGATGGTAATTTTGGCCCTATCCACGTCCTGAAAGGGAACTCCGCACAGATCTTTGCTATCATGCATGTCTTCTGCTTTAATGGTTGTTTGCAGAGTGTTAGAACAACTAATAGTCCTTCTGTGTCTGTCCTATATAAGTAAAAGCATTGAACTCAACAGCAAGGTTGGCTGTAAAATAGTTAAACAGTAAAATAGCTAATAGTAAAATAGCTTAGTATTAATAAAAAAATAATGCTATATTGTCTTTAAGAATCAAACTGGGCTTTCCCAACTTTGAATTAATACTTTTTTCTTTATAGTATCCTTTAAAAATTCAGCAGATTGAAGAACTGATTAATACTTCAGGAAGAAAACAGAAAAGAATATTACTGTATGACACCTACAATACTGTTATTAAACCTTCAGACTAAGTGATGTAATTTTCAAATACAGGTTATACTGGAGGCAGAAGAAGGCTTGAAGGAACTAGATGCTGGAATCAGTGAATTAAAGAAACGTGCAGACAAGCTACAAATTGACCAACCTTCTGTGCAAGAGCTATCTAAGATCCAGGTATGGTTCGTGAGTTCCATCCTAGTCCTGTCTGGTGATATCAAAGATATTACGCTCCTTTTAATTGTTCACAAGGCAGTTTAGGAAAGCATGTTTAAAAGCATTTCAGTGTTTATAAAAAAGTACTTTCTCCCTCGTTCACCTGTTTTTTCTACTTCCACATTTTCAAATTTTCTAACATCTCTTTTAATAGTAGAGATAATAAGTATTAATAATAAAAAGACACAAGCCCATGTTTTCTTTTGGCTCTAGACTCCCTATTCAAATAGATACAGCTAAGCATGTAAATATAAATGTCTGCTGAAGGTTGATCTCTGTTCTTACCAGTGTCTCATGATCTGGGGTTTAGTTCTACCTCGCATCTGTCATTAAAAAAAAAAGGAGGGAGATGAAAGGGATTAGATAGTTAAGTGTGACCTGAAATGGGAAATGTTTTGCTTTTACACCTCTCATGTTCCTACATGTTTTCAGTTAGACTTGATTTTGACCACACCTAAGCAGTAGGACTATTTTAAGGTGCTCTAAAGTAGATACATGTTGGCAATTGATCAAAACTTATATAAGGCTGTTGAAACTCCTTTGTGAGTAGTTTGGTGCTGAGGCAGAGGAGTGCTTAAGGAAAGGTCAAGGAGAAGGTTTAAAACTGAATTGTACCTATTATAATGGCATAATAATAAACTGGAAACAAGCAAAACGGTTGAAAAGGGAAGATAAACTTATTAAGCCAACAAAACAGTGATCTCAATTAAAAATGAATGACAAGGAATTGTGCCAATGTGTCTGTTGCCCAGTTCTTTATCCTTTTTCCCTTAGAGCCTCTTGCTTTTTTTTTTTTTCCCCCTTTCAGATTATGAGAAAATAACCCTTTCCCCTTGATATCAGTTTTTAGAAAAGCCTTCCTTTTGCTTTTTTGACAGTTGTGCTTCTCACAATTTTCTCTTTAAAGCTAGGAGTGCCAGCTGTAGTCTGCAGGTGGATACTTTGCTTTAGCACTGGATGGCTATAGAGGAATTTTGGTTTATTAGTTTCTGGATGTCTTCTCTTAATCAAAAGTGTGGGCTTATCCTCACCATCAGACATATGGTCTGGGGATACAATTCTGAAGTGCAAAACAATAAAGTAATCCTATTCAGGAAAAGAAAAGGATCTGTAGTTTGTTCTCACTTTTATGGCTATACAAGATGAGTAATAGCACATAGGAAATGATGAGATTTTTCTTTTGGATAATTTTGTGATTTGGCAGTATGGGCACACTGTGAAATACACACTGCACTTTTTCTGCACTTCGCTGTCCTATATAAAGCCTATTGCTATTTTAAACATGGTTCGGTTTTTACTATAAGTTGTATGTATCATGCTCGCTACCAGTAAGCTACTGGATTAGGAGAGGAAAACAAATCTGGCTTTGGGATGTGTATAGTCTGTAGCTGTGATGGAGCCCATCCAATCCCCTGCATTATAAGAAGCAAAATGTAAACAGCATCTTCAGTAGACAGTAGCCACACAGTAGTCTATTTTGGTGACGTAAGCTCGATCAACCTACTCCTTTCCTTCTTAAAGCAAGCCTTTGGGATTCTGCTAATGTTGTTGCTGAATGCATGCACTTGAAGGAGTTGCAGGTCTTGCTTATTTTTTCTCTCTTGAAATGTTAATCTCTCAATGAAGTCAGTATATCTGCACAGTCTTTTTGAGCTGGAAATAGCTACTCTGCTACTATTCATAAAGGAACACAGAGACAATAAAGTTGCTTCTAGTAAGACACGTGTAAGGTGTGAAATAAGAATCACTGTTGCTGCTCTTTTCATCCCAGGATAAGTATGATGAGCTGATGATGATTATTGGATCCAGACGAAGTGACCTGAATCAAAATCTGGCTCTTCAGAGGCAATATGAACGGGCTTTGCAGGACCTGGCTGACCTGGTAGAAACAGGCCAGGAAAAGATGTCTGGTGACCAGAAAATGATGGTTGCTTCTAAGGAAGAGGTTCAGTCACTACTTGAAAAACATAAGGTAAGAAACTGTGACATGTTTCAGGACTAATCATGACTGTGCTTGTACACAGCAGATTGCTAACTTTCTGCTACTAAAGGTTCAGGAGCTTTTCAGAATGGTGTGCAGGTATTAAATCAGGATATTAAAACTTACTGTATTTTAAATTGAAATCAATGAACTGTTCTGACTGAATGGCTTTCAAATGCTCTGTTGAAGGTACACCCAGGTAGTTTGCATTTTCTTCGTTATTCTAATAAGCAGTTCCTATTCTTGTCCTGTCAGGCTACATAGCAATTTCCTCCACCACTCCACTCTTTTCCCAACAGAAATTTACAGTTGCTAATCACACCCACAAAGTACAATAACACCCTTTCACATTTTTTATCAGGCAAATTTTTTTTGTGATGTATATCTGATTTAAACTATTTTTGTTTATAGAATGAGAGTTGGGATGGAATTTGCATGCAAAGGATGACATCCTTCTTTCTTTAAAAAGGCCGTTGTCCTCTTTTAATTACGTGTTGTATTTTGTGAACTGTTGCTGGAGTGAAAAGTTTCCCTAATTCTATGTCTACAGATACTTGATGTACTGATAATTAAAATGTTGATTTAGTGATAATTAACTAACAATTGCCTTTTCTCTTTTCTATTCTCTCTTTACCCTCCCCCTCACACCCAAATCCCTCAGGAGTATTTTCAGGGGTTAGAGTCTCACATGATCCTGACGGAAACACTTTTTAGAAAGATGAGTAGCTGGGCACTCCTGAAGGATACTCAGTCACATTCAGAGCTAATGACACAAGCTTCAGCGGTTTTGAAGCTGGCTCATAAACGAGGTGTGGAGCTGGAATACATTCTGGAGGTGAGAATTTCTGTGGTCTTTTCTGCACTGCCATTGTGATCATCTGCCAGAATATTCTATACTGTTGATTTCCTGTGCTTGGAATTGATTGATGTCAGTCCCTTTTGTTGTACACGTAAAGCAGTGATAGACTACATGTAATCTAGATGATCCAGGGGCTAGAGCACCTCTGCTATGAGGAGAGGCTGAGAAAGTTGGGATTGTTCAGCCTGGAGAAGAGGAGACTCTGGGGAGATCTTATAACTGCCTTCCAATACCTGAAAGGAACCTACAGGAAGGCTGGGGAGGGACTTTTTACAAGAGTGTCCAGTGGTAGAACAAGGGGTACTAGATTTAAACTGAAGAAGAATAGGTTTAGATTGGATCTGAGGAAGAAATTCTTCAGTACAAGGGTGGCAAGACTCTGGAATAGATTGCCCGGAGAGGCTGTAGATGCCCCTTCCCTGGAGATGTTCAAGGCCAGGTTGGATGAGGCCTTGGGCAACCTGGTGTAGTTAAGGGCATCCCTGCCCAAAGCAGGGAGGTTGGGTCAGGGGATTTCTAAGGTTGCTTTCAGCCTAAGCCATTCTATGATTCCATGATCTTTGCTGTTAGAACTGTTGTGAACTTCAAGTGACACAAGTTGTGTTCCTCTAAATTTAAAAGAGCTGCTGAGATTTAGCTGACTGCTTGGGAGGGTCCAGTGCAGAGCCACAAAGATGATGAAGGGAGTGGAACATCTCCCTTTTGAGGAAAGGCTCAAGGAACTGGTCTCTTTAGCTTGGAGAAGAGGAGGCTGAGGGTTGACCTCATAAATGTTTATAAATACGTTAAGGGGGAGTGTCAGGAGGACGGAGCCAGGCTCTTTTTAGTGATGTCCAATGACAGGACAAGGCACAATGGGTACAAGCTGGAACATAGGAGGTTCCACAAAAATATTAGGAAAAACTTTTTCACTGTGAGGCTGACAGAGCACTGGCACAGGCTGCCCAGGGAGGTTGTGGAGTCTCCTTCTCTGGAGACATTCAAGACCCTCCTGGACACATTCCTGTGCGATCCACTGTAGATGATCCTGCTCTGGCAGGGGGGCTGGACTAGATGATCTTTTGAGGTCCCTTCCAACCCCTAACATTCTGTGGTTCTGTGATGATAGCTTTATCCACGTGTTCTAACCAAAAATTGAGCTTGCACAGAGGTAGTATGTTATTATAGGGTCACTGCACATTTGTACTGTTATTTCTGTACATTCACAACCTGCAGCTATAGGGTTTCAGACTGAGAAAGTCAATAATAAAAATTCTAGATACCTAGATTCAATATTCACTATGTACATGGTTAATTTGTGCTTGCAGACCTGGATACATCTGGATGAAGATTACCAGGAACTTACCAGACAGTTGGAGTCTATCGAAGGTAGCATTCCCACTGTTGGTTTGGTGGAAGAGACGGAGGACAGGCTTTCAGACCGGATTACGCTTTTCCAGGTTGGTGCTTTTTAGATATTCTTTATGGAAAAGTTAGGTGAAAGGGACCTTTGAAGGTCAGCTAGTCCAGCCTCGAACTTGAAGCAGGACAGTTGCCATGGACTGAATCAGCAACAGGTTTGAAAATCTCAAAAGATGGAGTTCCAACAGCTGAGCTGGGGACCAGTGTCAGTGCTGCATCATCTCCTGCGGAAAAGGTTTTCTGTAATGCCCAATCTAAACCTTCAACTTTCACCTTGTCACTATTGCATGGCACTACTGATGAGCATTTACGTCTTCGCATCTCTTTTATTCTACTCCAAACAGTTGTAGGCCTTTGTTAGACTGACCCTTAGCTTCCTGTTTGTCAATCTAAAAAAAGCACACCATTCCCAGCCTCTTTTTAAAGGGCATGTGCTCTAGGTTTCTAAACATCTTAATAGCTCCACACGAGGCCCTGATTACTTCCTCCTTTTTGAACTCAATGTGAGGTGGGGGCAGAGCAGAATCAGATGCACTAGATAAGGTCTCATCATGTAGATGAGGATGATAAAATAAGTTGGTTGTTCACAATCCTAGTGTAGGCCAGTGCTTCAGCTTACCTTATTGATGATGTCTTAGTTATGGAAGATGCCAGGTTAAATACTCTAGCCATTCCCTTCCTAGCCTGTAGTGAGAAACAAGGTTATTCTGCCAAAGGTGCAGAATTTGCACTTTTTATTGAGTCTCTCTTAAGGTTTCTGCTGCCTCCAACCTCACATTAATTAAAGTATCTCTGGACTAAGTCTGACATTTTTATTCTCAATCAATCTCCCTATGTTAGTGCCATCTCTAGATTTAGTGAGTGGCTGACCACTCTCTGTCATCATCAATGCCATTAATGAAGATATTCAAGAGGTTCGGGCTTTAAACATCAGCCATCTCTGCCTATTACAGTCTGCCAGCCAGACATCAAGCCTTTGATCTCTAGTGTTTGAAACTGGTAATGCATCCAGTTTTCAAACTGTAACAGCCAATTTACACAGCCCAAATTCTCTCCGCTTCCAGAGGAGAGTCCTGTTGGAGATGATGTTAAAGGCCATACTGAAGTCAGTCTCATCCACAGAGACAGTAATCTGGCCATAAAAGGCTGTCAAGTTAGTGAACCCAAGCTGAGTATTCCTGATTGCCTTTTGGTCCTTTTTGTCCTTCAAAATGAATTCCAAGAGTATGCACTCCATGATATTTCCTGAGAGAAAGGTGAGGCTGCACAAATTTCAGTTCCCTGGGTTGCTTTCCTCCTCAAGTGCAACAAGAACTAGTAGTTTAAATATAGGTTTTCTACCACATCCTGTTTTTCCAGTCTGTTCTCAAAATTAGAATTCTGGTCTAGTGTTTTGTCTTTGTCTCATTATACACCAGACACTTTGGTTAGGCTTTTTTTGTTTTACAGAAAAATGTCTGCCAATTTTTTCTTGCAAATTGACTTCTTGTCTACTCTGAATTTGTTATGTATATTGTTCTTTTACCAGACAGCTTTCTGCTTTTGCAGTGGTATGAGGAGAACCTAAACAATCCATTGCGTAGGGGGTTTATTTTTGTTTTGTTTAATGCCAGGAATTGTTTGTGTTTGTTCTGACCCTAAGTTAGTTTTCCTTCTTTGTTTCTCTTTTCAGTTGCATAAAATGGGTTATTCGAATCCAGTTTCGGATTCTGCTGTGGCATAATTTTTAACACTTTTTTTTTCTCCTCTTGTGGCCACATTTATGTTAGAAATCCATCATAATTGATTTATTAATATTTTAGGATTTTTTTATGCTGTTATCTAGGAGTTACACATTTATTTGTGTATGTATTATATATAAGTACATGCACACATACACATATAAAATTCTATTAGAGCTCTGTTTATGTGAAAGAGACAATAAGAAGAGCAATAGAAAGTTTATGTATTCACCGTGAGACGGGTAGTTCTTCAGATTAGTTCCAGAAGAACTGAAAAATGGGAGTGCATGTACATTTTGTGTCTAAGCTTAGTCAAATATACAGATGTTTTTAAAATCTGTAGTATTTGTGTGATGATAGTAGAATTGGATGGGTATGTTTGCCCACATATACAAATTCTTTACCTGTGCACAAAGGAAATGAAATCTGTCTCTGCTCCAGGTTGGATTCAGGGTAAGAATATCAACAGCCTTTCCTTTTTCAGTACCTTTTTTGCTTTCTTGTGCTGTAACAACTGACTTTTGTGTTCAGGGATTTGGATGAGTGGGGTGACTTTCTCTTTTGTAGCCATGGATAGCAAGAGGGTAGATCAGTAAAAGAAGAGTTAGATGACCAGAGAGCTGACGATAGGCATTGAAAGGGCTGAAGAGTGACCACTGTTAATAACTTAATATTGGACACCTCTGACTTCCATTGCAGTAGGTTTCACCAGGTGATGGACTAAATTCTGACATTTTAATCAATTTCTTTCAAAATGGTGTTGCATCATGAAAATTCTTTTGAAATTGCTCTTTTCAAGTGTAAAATATCTACACCAAGGAGGCGTTCATCATATGGAGGTATCCGTCGACATACTGAAGTGATGGGGTTCATTACAGCACATTCAGATTTTGAGAGGTTACCTGCATGATGGTTCTCGGAGTTGTAGAGCTGGAGCAGAGGGAAAAAACGTGATGTACCATGGTGACTTCTGGAAGGAAAGAAGTCAGAAAGTTGTACTCGATGGGACAGAGCCTAGGTGGATGCCTGTATCTAGTGGAGTGCATCAAGGATTGATACTAGGGCCAGTGCTGTTCGATATATTCATCAGTGACCTGGATGAGGGAACAGAGTGCACTGTCAGCAAGGTTCCTGATGAAACAAAACTGAGAGGAGTGACTGACACACCAAAAGGCTGTGCTGCCATCCAGAGAGACCTGGACATGCTGGAGAGTTGGGCGGGGAGAAATTGTATGAAGTACAACAGGAGCAAGTGTAGTTTTGCACCTGGAAAAGAACAACTCCATGCACAAATATAGATTGGGAACTGACCCATTGGAGAGCAGCAGAGTAGGGGAGAGAGACCGTGGCTCCTGGTGGACAGCAGGATGCCCATGAGCCAGCAATGTGCCCTCATGGCCAAGAAGGCCAATGGCATCCTGGGGTGTATTAGTAGGTGACTAGCTAGTAGGTCGAGAGAGATTCTCCTGCCCCTCTACTCTGCCCTGGTGAGGCCACATCTGGGATATTGTGTCCAGGTCTGGGCCCCTCAGCTCAAGAGAGACAGGGAACTGCTTGAGAGAGTCCAGCGCAGAGCCGCAAAGATGCTGAAGGGAGTGGAACATCTCCCTTATGAGGAAAGGCTGAAGGAGCTGGGTCTCTTTAGCTTGGGCAAGAGGAGGCTGAGGGGTGACCTCATAAATGTTTATAAATATATAGAAGATGATTGTCCAAAGAGTGGAGCCAGTCTCTTCTCAGGGATGTCTAATGACAGGACAAGGGGCAACAGATGCAAGCTGGAGTATAGGAAGTTCCACACAATGATTAGGAAAAACTTTTTCACTGTGAGAGTGACAGAGCACTGGCACAGGCTGCTCAGGGAGGTTGTGGGGTCTCTTTCTCTGGAGACATTCAAAGCCCACCTAGACGCATTCCTGTGTGACCTACCGTAGGTCATCCTGCTCTGGCAGCGGGGCTGGACTAGATGATCTTTCAAAGTCCCTTCCAACCCCTGACATTCTGTGATGCTGAATATGTTACGAAGTGCAACAGAAGTAGACTAAATGTTGAGAAAGTGTGATAGCAGAGACCTGCAGAGCTGTCTAACCATCTCCTCTCTCATTACAGCATCTCAGATCTAACCTGACTGAATACCAACCTAAATTATACCAAGTGCTAGATGATGGGAAAAGGCTCCTTTTTTCTGTTAGCTGCTCAGATCTTGAAAGTCAACTGAATCAATTGGGAGAACAATGGCTGAGTAACACCAGCAAGGTTACTAAGGAGCTTCACAGGCTGGAGACAATACTGAAACACTGGACAAGGTAATGCTGATGTAATGGACAGTATAAACTTCTTCACCTGCGCTGTTCAGGTCAAAGTTGTTCTGAACCCAGAACTATTACATTCAACATTTAAAAGAAAGTGCTTTGAGATGTATGTGATAATTTGAGTACTCTACAATATCCTATTTCTATTCTATAGAAGAGTTATCACACTCTCTCATTTGCAATAAAACATACCAGATAACAGCTGGTGAGACGAAGTCAGAAGATATTTTATTTAGATGACTAATCTGGAAGCCTCGAGTTCATACCAACGAGGTTGGTGGGAAAGGATGTGTGCTTTGCTAGGTAGCATGAGTAGCTTCAGCATGTTCTGGTAGGGGTATTGCCACTGCTGGCTTCTTGTGGGTTTGTATCATTGCATATATGGAATGGAGATTTTATGTGCATTTACTGATGTTTGTATGCTAGTTTATATAGTTTATATATAAAATTTGTCTATTATTCATAATATCCCAGGTTGTTGGCTCACTAGCCTTTCAAGAGAGAAGCATAAAGGCCTTGTGCGTATAAAAGCTATGTGGAGACACTCTTAGTTGTTTGGCATATGAAATGATATGGAAATAGTTTCTGAAAAAGGATTAAGTTTCTGTTATGAGATACCTTATGGTAAAGCTTTGGAAGGTTGAGCCTTGTAATGGAAAGGAAAAATCTGTTTATGTGTGTGTGATGGGGTACTGTTACAGCTTGCCCAGACAGATTTGTAACCTAATTACTAGTTGTTCATTAAACTTAGTTTTTTCCAAAGAGGCAAAGCAAAGGTACTGTTAGGAATTGTAGGTGTGATGGTTAAAAAAAGTTTTCTGATACCATGCCTGTCTTTAAAATTATTCATGTTTTTTTAAAAAAAATTGATAAAGGGAAGAATATATTTTTATTATTGTTTTAAATATGACATACAGTATCTTCCAGTAACACATGGAGAAGAGGCTGTTCAGCTGGAGGTAAGAAGTGGCAATGACTGTTTTAGGTTTTTTTAACATCTTTACAGGTATCAGAGTGAATCAAATGAATTGACACATTGGTTGCAATCTGCAAAGGAGCAACTTGAGTTTTGGAGCCAGCAGTCTTTGACAGTTCCTCAGGAACTGGAAAAAGTCCGAGACCACCTGAACTCCTTTTTGGTAAGTCATTTGTGGACCTGGGACACCTTTTTCTCTCCAATTATAAATAAACAGTTGAGCAATCATGTTCTTATACTTTTTCTCATTACTGAAGTAGTGAGTATACAGAAAAAAAAAGATGTCTGCTTCTGTAGGTGAGCAGTCCTTCAAAAAACTGGTGTGCATGCACATTAAGCACTCCTTTGCTACATACAGTAATTGTAACTGATTCTGAAAACTGAAAATTCTTAGCTTTCTGAGATAAAGCTTTAAGTACAATAAACAAGTAGTTGATAATTTCTACAAAAATAATTCTATTTACAGGAGTTTTCAAAAGAAGTGGATGCTAAATCATCACAAAAGTCTTCTGTCCTGAGTACTGGGAACCAGCTCCTCAGGCTGAAGAAGGTGGATACAGCAGCGCTGCGTGCTGCATTGTCCCACATTGACAATCAGTGGACGGAGTTGCTCACACAAATCCCGGCAGTACAAGAGAAACTGCACCAGGTAAGGAAGGCCAGTGATGGTCTTTGGTATTCCAGAAAATTCAAACCATACAGCTGACACTGCCTTTGAGAGACAGTTGCTCCCTTCCGCAGTACATCCATGTGAGGCAAGATAGGGACTTTACTCCTTTTTTAATGCGGGAAAGCTTACACTTATGTCCAAATTGTTTCTACCCATACTGTCTTAACGCTAGTTGGCGTTAATGTCGAACTTTCACAGTTATATTTGTTAAATTTTAACCAAAGAACAGATGAGTGTTTTTACAACATATTGGTATGCATTTTGGAAAAAGGAAGTTCACAGACTTGTACCCTGTCAGGTTTGGATGGTGGTTTTGTTCATATTGAATAGACTGGGTTCAAGTCTGTGCAAGATAAATCTAAAAACACTGTGCAAAGTTCCTGCACATGTATGTACGGTCAGGAGAGCTTTTTAACTCTATAATATTGAGGTTAAAGAATTATATTGGTCTAAAAGTTAGTTTAGTATTTAGTTGCTAGGAGGTTATCAGTGTAAGCAGTTGTTTAAGTCTGTAATTTGCAAAGCTCTCAGAGTTAAGGAATATCATTGGGATTTAGCGGGAGAGAGGAAGGGTACCAAATGTTAACTGAGTCTATTACATTCAACAAAATAATGTCATTCAGTAGTTCTCTGAACTGTCTTGTAGTGCAAAATATTGCACGTCTACCTAAAAATGTCACAGAATACATTTCTGAGTAACTAAATGTAAGCAAGCACTACTGCATGAAATGTTGAAATCGAATCTTATTAAGAAAACAATAAGTACTATTCAAAATCAATCCATGTAGAAATCACAACACAAGAAGAGTATTACCAAGTTATTTTCCATGAGTCTATTCAGTAGGCATTTACAAGGACAGAAGAGCATAGCTTGAGATGTTGTTTTACATAAGCCCAATACAGAATTATGGATCGAAAACGCAGAACCTTTAGTAAGTCAGAAATGGAATCTTTGAGTTGGTCCAGTTTCTTTGTGGAAATACGAAGCTTTTAATAGAGCATTTTCTGAGGATGCATGCAGTTATACAGTATATCTCCTAGTAAAACCTTTCTTTTTTTCAAGTTTTTTATAAACCTCAGTGATATATTAGGGATGTAGAATAAAATGCTAATAGGAGCAGGTAAAGCAGATGTACTACGTTAATGCAAACCAAGGAATTCTTATCCATTTTCTTCACAACATACATTTTAAATCTATCTACAGCTTCAGATGGACAAAATTCCTTCTCGTCATGCTATCACTGAAGTTATGAGCTGGATTTCCCTGATGGAAAATGTCATTCAGCAGG